TTTTTCTAATTTAAAATGCTGCATGTCAGGCGTCTGAGTCCATATCTGGGCACAGACTTAAGATTTGTTTCAAACTGAAAACTACCTGCAGCTGCCACTGTTACCATGACTGTGAGAGTCCAGGGTGGTCTTTCTGCTCAGTGGGTCACTGCTTCTTCCAAGGAATTTAACTAGAGATCTGAATGCATAATTTGAGTGTTTCAGATTTTAACACCCTAGATATACCTTATCAGACTCGATTTAACAGTTAGGCACACAGCCTTTTAATGGAAGCTCTAGCTTGCATCTGGACAGGAGCTGTTCTGTGCCTAATATTTTGCATTGCCCAAGTTGTTGGAATAAACAAACCCAAACACTGGAAATAAATTGCTTGTGTTACCACCCAGCAAACACAAACAGAAGAACAATGTCTTGCGTTGAAGAATGTATTGCTTTACATTCTCAGGATTGCTCCTGCTGTAGCTATGAAGCTGCTAGTGCATCATCATCAGTGTGAAAGCCTACAGTTTTGGCTGCCAGTGATAGAATTAGTTATGTGCTCTAGTATCATTCTGACTTTTTCTTCCTCTATATGTGGAATCTGTACAATGAAAGATGTAGGGCATTGGTAGAAGAGTTTCTCTGTTGTTTGTCTCCTAGACATTGGTTTAGTCTTTACAACTGCTAAAAACCTTTTCTACATCTGTGTCAAGAAAATGGTTATACTATTCTGAATTTTAAAATTTAGTCTTACAGAAGCTATATTTTCTGGTAAAATCCCTAATACATTTTCTTAGTGGATAGATGAGGTGTGATAAGTAAAATGTACCATAGGGGCAGTAGAAAAAATATCTCATGATTTTAACTATAGGAAAATGGGGAAAAAATAGAAAAAAATGTGCTCATCTATCTTAGGACAAAATGACTTGAAGATAATAATAGAAAAAATACTACTACCAAGAGACATGGTCCTGCTTGCCTGAAGATAGAAAAGACATACAGACACAGTGCTACAGCATTTATGGTTTCTGTAAATGTGTTTTGAATGACATTAGTATCTTCTTTTCCTTGCCACTTTATGCTCTGAGGTTGAGTATAGTCAGGGAAGTAACAGTCTGCTGACGTTTCTAAGAATGTCAGATGAGCACCAGCTAAGTACTTATCAGAATATTGCATGACATTCAAACACTGGGGGGGGTTTATCAGGATTTGTATCACTACTTATTTGTTTTCTTCATTCAGAAAGCTGTATGTAGTCCTGGCTGCTTTCAGAGTGCTCTGCTAGACAAGTCCAGCTCTTAGCCTTATTTGTCAACTGTGTTGCAGCAAACAAACAACCTTTCCTAAAATTATGAGCTAAATGAACAGTGAACAGAATTAGAGATGATGCCAAGGATCAAAAAGACGTGAGAAAGTAAAAGGCATTGACAAAATGAGCTGGAATGGGAATGCTGCAGTCCAGCTTTCCTGTAATGCTAGCGTGGAGCAAGATCAGAGGAAAACCAGAGTGAAAGACACTGGGGTTGTGTTTTTCATTTGGAGTGTTTTTTTTAAAGTCTGTTTTAACAGACTTATTTAGACTGTTTTGCATTTCCTGATTTTATCATAGAGCAGAAGTTGAGATTACTTAAATATTTCACTGAGATGACTGTGTCAAAAGTGTTATTCTGCTGTAAAAGCAAGAATAAAAAAGGGATATGATATGTGAGATGAAGGTGAGAGAGAATTCCTTTGTATTTTAGATATTGTGTATGTATAGTAGTACAATGAAAAATCCTCAGTCCCAGTGCAGAATCTACATGTCCTGAAACCACTAGACTAAAAAAACCCAAAACAAACCAACTGAAAAACACCTCAACCAAACAACCAACATTATAAATAAAATTATATGGATCTGCTGAGAACTATCAGTGTGTCCAAACTGTGTGTATGCAATGTCCTTTGAGTGCCTGTGTTCTTAGCCAACCATGAAGTACAGTAGCTACACAGTAGGTGTGTTCACAAATATTCATAACATTTCACACCAGCTGAATTTGGATGGGGCCTTTGGAGGTCAAGTGGTCAGCCTACTGGTTCAAAGCAGGGCTGGCTTTGCAGTTAGATCCACTCTTGCGTAAGTGCTGAGTGTTTCCCTGACTGGAAGCCTGTTGAGGCGTGATCATCATCACAGCTAAACTTCTTTGTATCAAATCAGAATTTCCCTTGCTACAGACTCTATTCATTGCACCTTGTTATTTTTTTCTGAGTAGTATTCAGGGTTATTCTGTCTCTGTCTTCTCTGTAGCTACTACTTAAGTGGTTAAAGACAGCAAGTAGATCCCTCCTCAGCCTTCTCCCAACTAAACGAGCTAAATTCCCTCAGGTTCTTCTTGTATGTTATAAACTTGAAAACCCTAATTGTTTTGGTGAACCTTTGCTAAACTCAATCTAGTCTGTCATTGTTTTTCTTTGATGGGGGATCTCACATTACTCTATTTTTTTCAGTGACCTGAGCTGAAATTTCTATTTAACTCTGAAACAGCTGGAAAAATTCTCTGTAATTCCAACACATAAAGGGTGTATATTGTTGATGTATTATCTGCTTGTAAGATTTCAAAGCTAAAAGAAACCAGTTGATGGTAAGAGCTAAAACTGTTCTACATACCAATTTGAAGATAAAGTCAGGAAACTGAATAAAAACATGTGGTTGGAGAAAAGTCATGTTGGTGGCAGAGCCACAGTTTGGAGTCGATTCCAAGTTTTCAAGTTGCAGGTTGTTCTCAGAAACACATCTGTTATAAGAAAGTTGTATGGAAGAAAGTCTAAATTCTTCTCTATTCATAGGACTTCAAATCCTTGTAAGAGAATATAGTCATGCACTTATGATCACTTTTCACAGTCATGCTAGTAAGATGCTCAACTTATTCTTTGCATCTATACTCTTGCATCTACCTACTCTTGCAAATATACTGTGGCATTTCCACAACGAAGGCTGTCAAGAAGTTTTTGTGGGTCTCTGAATTTATTTAAAATCATCATTTATTTAAAATCATCAAAATTGTTGACTTAATTAATGCAATGTCCACTGTGAAACGTTTGAGCAAAGAGCTAATGATCTCTTGAGATATGGTTCACATGCAAATTTCTGAAAATTAATTTAAATGCAAAACCAGAGGGAATTTCAAGAAAGTTGCTCATTTTTGGTGTATCAAAATGTTGATAGAAACACTTTGTAAAATATGGAGAACTTCTAGAGGAATTATGGCTATATTAGGAAGATATGTAAGTGGAATACTTCTCCAAAAAGTATGTTTTAGCTGTTGGGAATTGTAGCTCAAATATCAGCCATACTCAAGACTAACAACTATCTGCTTGGTGTCCTTAGGAATACCCAAAGGATGATTAGTATGTGAATGTCCTTGTAGAGTATCTTGTATGCAATTCAGTGGTAAGTCTTCTGCCAGAAAGCCCTTAAAAGAAAGGACTCATACTGGGAATCTCTTCACGCAGGCTATTGTTAAACTACCACTTATACAAGTGACTACGCACTAGATATACAAATGTCCTGTCAAATTTCAGCTGCTGACTGTGCAGTGTAGTGTAGTGCAGTGCAGTGCAGTGATGCTAACTGGCTTCAGCCAGTCTTCCAGTGTACAATAAGGCACCTAGGCACCTTTGCTCATTTGAAGCCCGACACATGTTGAGAACATGGCTGCTAGGAAAAATATAACAAGTGCAATATTGTGGTCATTATTGTGCTTCATAGCCAGTGTGTAACCGACTAAACAAGGTATTGAAAGTTCAATAATGTATAATCTCAATTTTCCAGAAAATGCAAGTGCATGGCTGTATGTGTTACACGGAACAACAAGCCAATATTTGAGATGTCATTCAGAATATAATGAGTGTAATTTGCTCTGCCCATCTAAATTTAATTGTCCAAGAAAACATGTATTAAACAAATGCTTTCATGTTTTTTTCTTCATTCTTTGATCATTGACATGATGATGTAAACTTCTGCAGTAAATCATAGTATTGTGAATAATGCACATCAAATTTTCATTGTCATTTGTGGACTTTCATAGCATTTGAATAAAGTTTTTGGAAGTGATTTTCTCTGTCTTTTGTACCTAGGAAAACTAAGGACCATATCCTCTGTGCGTCTTTATTTTGTTGATCCAGAAGAAATTAATTTTACAAGCTTGAATTCCCATACTGACAAGGCATGGAGTCCTGCCATGTTTCTCATTAACACTTTCCAGAAGGATGAATAAGTTTGGTATAAATACTGAGGATATAATATCCTGATCTGAGAAAACATCTGAGCATGTCCTAGGGCTTTACTGAAGTCAGCAGTAGTTAAATACATGCTTGAGAGTCAACCAAGGAAATATATGTCCTTGCTGAATTGAGAGCTCCATGGTAAAAGAAGTAGATTATACTTAACCCTTTGAGAGTATTTCTCTGTGGTATAACACTTCTTGCTTTGTAGAAATAAGATGTGAGTTATAACCTCAATGCCACACACCCTCCTTTTAAAGCATATATATAGAGATCTTTAAAGAAAAAGTTATTCTCTTCAGATTTTAATGAACTTCCTATGGCTGAAGTAACAAAATAGGGAACGAAGAAGACTGAAATTATATTTTTAATGTTGATTAATATAAATGCTAATTGCCTCCTTATTTCACCTGTATTTCCAAAAATTTATTTTAATGTTAAAGAAATACAAATACTGCCTCTTTTATGAGTCTGTCATGAATGCACAATATTTTATAATTCACACTTCTAATAAAAGAACAGTTCCCAAAAGGTTAAGTATGAGTTTATATAAAGTCTATTCAATAGATTCTTTACATCTCATGTTGAAGAAAGATGAAGTCATTTCCATTTGCAAATGTGAGATGTTTATCAAAAAGCATTGCTTCTTGACTAGAGTGTTGTTTTGTTCTGACCATGAGGGGGTGCAAATGCCTGCAAGTGTGTATGTCTGCATGGGAATGCAATATCTTCGTTATAAATATTATTTTTCTGACCAACAGATATTTCCTGGACTGATTCTCTCAGACATTAAGCCTGCCAAAAGAATGAAGTTCAAGACAGTGTGCTATCTGCTTGTTCAGCTCATGCACTGTCGCAAGATGTTCAAAGCGGAGATCCCTTTCTCCAACGTCATGACGTGTGAGGATGATGATAAGGTAGGGCCAAGTGCATTCTTTGGGCATCAATTCCAGGACTGTATCAAGTAGAACATCTTTCACAACATAGCGGACGATGTTACAAACTCATAAAAACATTTATGGTGTTCCTGCTGGAACTAGAAAAATCTGACTCCCACAGTAAAAACCAAATTTAATTATAAAAGCCCTCAAATTTGGAGCTGCTCTTGGAAAAGCTAGCATAGATATCCTATGTGGTTTCTATTAAGGGCTTTTTTTCGCAGGTACTGGAATTTCTGAGCCTGTTTCCATCCTTTTAAACATATATCCTTTTGCATCTTTTGTCCATCCCAATCTGAAGTTGATGGTGACAAATGCAAACCAACAGAATAATTTTGTTTCTCTAGATGGTTATCTGAAATATAAAAGACAAAGGGGTGTTTTTGATTAGCCAAAACCCCCCTTTGTCCATAATACAAATCCTAAACCTAAAAGTCCCTAATACAAATATAAATTTGGCTTTATTGGATGCTTGGTAATTCCATAAATCAAAACTCTTTACGTACTAGTAGCTTGGTTTGCTTATTTTCTCTATATGAATATACCTGTACATTTATGGATACAAACCATGAGAGTTGCTCGTTCCATTTTCTTTGACAGCAGGTGGCAATATTACACAGGTCACTCCACCACTGAGTGGTGGCATGTGAGCACTGGAATCAGTAATTCAGCTTAACTAACTGCTTCACAATTTTTTTTTCTCTTTTTCATTTACTGAAGACTCAGTGTAAATATTACTTTCAGAAAACATTCAAACTTTAATATTTTGAGTTTTATGTGTGCTTGTGTTTCCTTTGCAGAAAAAGGGAAGAAAAGTCAATTAGTTCCTTTAAAAAACAATTTCAGTGAAGACTTTCAGAAACTCCAGGTTTGATTTTGAAATTGGCCATGTACAAGACCTTCCAGTTGGTATTTAGTTATATCTTTGAGTATTTAAAAAAATAATCCACACATTCTTTGAAGGATATGCAATACTTTACATTGTGCCTTGTGTACATGTATGTGTAAATATGATAATATACACAGAAAATACCCATATGGACTTTTTAGTGACTTGATGAAGTTTTTTTCATGCCAGAACATTCGCTGTGAAGTTCTACAATGCTATCAGTAACAGAAACTGTTATTCTGGGTTTTTGTAACTTTTATGTAGCACATCATGGATTTTTATTATATGATGCTAATATAAATACACTGTGTTACAATGTAGGGCTTCTTTAGAGTTTTCAGCACTCAAATCATGCAAATAAAGTAAAACACATGGTGTCTTTAAAAGCTCGTAAGCCAGTGCATTTCTGAGAAACATAAATACTGGATCTTGATCATATGGAAGACATGATGTAAGTCTACTGTACAAAATAATAACAGAGATACAAATAAGAAATTTAGAGGAAATAATTATATGTAAGAAACAGCTTTTTTGACTAAAAACAGAAACTTTAACTCTGTTTCAAAATGGCAGAATAGATAATATAATTTATTCCATATATCACAATAACACCCATATTCATCTACCCTCATTTCAGGCTTTAATTCAAGGAAATATTTATTTAAATACTGTTTTCCTCCCCCCTGTTATAATATAGGCTTAAATTTGAATTGTAAAAAATCCTTGAAGATATATTTCTGCTGCAACTACTGCAATACATATGCTAATTATAGTTTATTGAGAGCAAAATTGTTTATTTCTTACACAGAAATTTATGTTTCTATTATTTTCCTAAAAGCATTCCATTTCCCTAAAAATTGCTGATACAAATGTTTATTCAAGAAAACAAATTTCTCTCAGTTTAGAAACACTGAAAATAGTTGTTTGGCCAGCCATTTAAGCTCTCTAATCAATGTGTGTCCCTAAGATTAGCTTCAAGTTGAAACAATTAGCTCTTTCACCAAAGACCAGGTAATGGGATCTGATAGCTTGAAGAAAAATGTAACCTTATAATTGTTTACTGCTGGTGTAACCTCCTCTCTACATATTAAGCCAGCAAAGCAGGACCCGAAAAGTTGCTTTATCATTGCTAGGGTCCATTTTCCTTCACAAACAGAAAAGTAATGTATCAGTTAGTAGATAACCCTTCTCACTATTTATATAGATTTAGATATAATTTAATAATAATAAGCTATGTAAGCTAGTGAACTGCAAGTGTTCACAATTTGTTCATTGATGAGGTACTCCTAAGAATTGCTTGTGAAATAAAAAAGGAAACTGCTATTCCTGCAAAATTACTTAGATAGTGATCACCATATTTTTAACCATCTGGATTAAAAGTATTTGTTATTGCATAGCATCTAGAGTAAATATTTAGGATTGAGTGTTCTGAAGAGAGAAATTTTGTTTTCTTCTTTAACATCTTTCTGACAGACTCTACTTATTATATCCTGAGTAATCTTGTTATTTTGTAATATTTTGAACTATCTTGAACTCTGAAGATGCTAGATAAAAAAATATTCCTTTAACTTTTCAGAATTAGTAGAACTTGTCTGAGTTTTGTTGTCAAAACTCTTCTGGGAAGTAGGCTTGACCCCGTCAAGACACAGAACCATAATGATTTAGATTAAAGCACTCTCAGCTGGAGTTTGCCACTAGTGTGGCTGAGATGCTGCTCACTGTCTCCTGAATACTCTCTGTGAAAAATGAGACAGCTTGTTTCAAATGCCTTTCAGATATGCTTTGTGATTAATCTTTTCCACTGCAAAGGACTACAAGTAATCATCTTACAATAGTGCTATCTCAGCCTTGGAGGAATCAGTTAGGCATAGGTTAGTTCTGATAATTTGTTGAATAGCTCCCTCTGTGCAAGTGCACTTGAGGCATTCTCAAGAGGTCTTAACAAGAGAGCCAATTGGGTGAGTTAAAGACAGCAACACTTGAGATTTCAGACCCTCTTTAGTCACAGGTGGTCATTGTCCAAGACTTTAAGGTAAACAATCTTTTTGAAATATGTATTGTTACCTAGACAGTAGGACTTTTCTTGTGTTATGAGTGTTAGCATTCAGGAACACATAATCACGGAATATGATTATATGCACGTGGTTTTATTTGAAGAGCTCTGTGAGTCAGGGGTTTCAGACCCAAACCTGCTATGACATGGTTTCAAGCTGAACATGTTTTATATTCTATCATTACATAACTACATAGGAATTATTAAGCTTATATTGTTCTATTGTATACATTGACCTTACCCAAGCATGGATTTCTCGTGATCCACCCAAACTCCCAAATATAGTTCTTGTTATGATCAAACAATAATTATACCTAATTTCTAAGCAAGCATTACTTCTAACAATCATATCATTTATCATATAATGATTACACAGATGATGCAGTTTCACATGATCTAGCAAAGACAAGGCCTAACATTTTCCCAGGGCCCACCCATAACATTTTCCCAGATCGTACCAAGCTCAACTCCCCAAATTCCCATGATTTTAGAAACCTTTTACTATCACAAAGAGCCTAGTTATCTTGTCCTCAAGATTTCCAGAGCTCCATGTCTTCTGTCAAGAAAACAAACCAATATAAAACCATTTTACAAGGTAAAATAACCCTACTGGGTACAAACTGATTATTTCCTCAGTGGAGAGGAGTGTCAGGGCCATATGTGAAAAGAATTTCTGGATGAAAATCTTGGAATTAAGTGGGAGTTTTCTCTTTGATTTGAATAATATTAGTATTTTAGGTAAGGAATTTTAAAAAGGTGACATCCACACAGAGATAAGAAGTCTATCTTTTGTAGTTGCTCTGCTTAATGAATTCCACATCCTCTCTGTAATCTTGATGTAATATGAACAGCAATGCAAAATCTCAGTGCTAATAAAATCTGTGCTTCTTTCTTCATCCATATTACAGAGGAGAGCATTAAGGACAGCCTCTGAAAAACTCAGGAATCGCTCGTCTTTTTCTAACAATATTGTATACAACACTCCGGGAACTCGAGTGAACAGATATATCAGCCGCTTGATAGAGGCCCGGCAAACTGAGTCTGAGATGGCTGACTTGAATTTCATTACCTTGAAGTATAAGCAAATTGAGCGTGAAAATAAAGTAAGGGAGTTTAAAATTATTTTTACTGATTTCACTGACCGTAAGCCAACTAGCATTGGGGTTTTTGTTTGGGTTTCATGCAATGCTTAAATTCTACTCACTATCTTTAAATACTGGATGACAGTGGAGGGTGACATTATCTTCTATGGAAATGCTTGAAGGGATAAAAAGAAAGATTGGTATTGTCCTACTTATCAGGATCCTACCCTGTGTTATATATCTTGTGTTTTGGTCTTTCGTTTGCTTCTCCAAACTGTCTGAGTCACTTTTTTAATGTTGTCTCATTGCAATGTGTCTGCCTACTCACTCATCTGCTTTGGAGAAATGTTAAAAAGATGCATAGGTAGCCTGTGCAGGTTAAGTATAGTAAGTATTGATTTAGAAGATAAGATTGTATCCAAAAATCTGGATACCAAGATAAGTATTGATCCAGAAATTCTAGAAAATATTTTTAAAAAACCCAAAAAACCAGCAAAAACATTAAATCTCTGGGCAAGGCTGCAATATTATACCAGTGTGGCAGTGCTGAAAGCAAGGGATTTACTCAGACTGTACAAGCATGCATATCAGTTAAGAATTGTTCCTACTTTGTAGGGGTATTTTTTGTGAATACAAATTATTTGTATTTACAGCTTTTATGTGTTTGAAAAAACAAAAATGTTATGGTTTTGAATTAATTTGGCAGTAGCATTTATTTTTCCACTGTAAATCACTTTAAGATTTCATGTCACTACCGTTTCAAGTTATAAGTCTGTGTGCCTATATTGGATCCAAATTTTTTAAGGTTTTAAGCATAAATTTTGGGTTCAAGTTTCCAAAGTAATTTTTTATTAGGCTGTAACTTTTTTCTTTCAAAAGAAAGTCTTCTGGTGTAAATGATATTGAACCTTGGATCTTTCTGAGAAAACACTTTAGTGTTTCAACCCCTAGAAAGCTTCCTCTCATTAATACTGCAGCTTAGTGGCATCAGGGACAGTAGCTGCTTCAAACTAAGCCCATGTATCTCATTAGCAGCTGCCTCCAAGTCCACTCATTAGAGTCCTGTCCTGGGCAGCTGAGGTGACAGGACTTCTTGAAAGCAGCACCAAGGTGTCTATGGCCTTTTATCACGATGAGTAAACAGAGGGAGGGCCACCCCTTTCTGGTTCAAAGTGGCTGACTTTTTTCTCAAAAAGATAAACTTATATCTGAGCCTAAACCAGTTTTGACAAGTTACAAGGTGAAAGAGAAGTTTTTCAACGAAAACCTTGTGTAGACTTCCCTCATTTGTTTTTTCAGAGCAAATTAAGCCATCATGTTTTTAACTAAGTAGGGGTTTGTTTTATTTTAGGATACAGTTCTTTCTTACTGAGAATGGACAAGTGTGGGTGTCTAGGTATATATGAAATATTTACTGTCTTCACTTCTTCCTTTCTTTAACAGTACCACCAGCTTCAGGATGAGTACTTCACTAGTGCTGTAGCTCTCTCGCTAATTCTAGCTGCCTTATTTGGCCTTGTCTACCTTCTAATAATACCACAGTAAGTTTCTGTCTTTTGCCATCATAACTCAAAGTGGAACATCCTCAGACATCCTGCACAGGTCAAAATTTAAAGTCTTTGGAACAGGAATGGGGGCCTAAGTCAGTATTTTCTCACATGGGAGATTCTCTGTTAGCATTCACCTCAGTCTAATTGTTATATCTTTCATTTGTCCACAGGAGATACTTTTCACTATATATTTTTTTTTCTTTTTTAGTAGTGTGCACTTAGAGGAAAAATATACATTTCAGTGTTTATTTAAACTTTCAGTGGTTATTTTTTACTTATTTAAAATATTTCTGCATTACAAGCAAAGGTGTTACTGCGGCTTTTCTAGATGTGTTTGTGCCTCTTGGGATTAAGTACTTCAGGTATTGATAGCAACAGAGATAAAACCCTGCAGAGTTTAACGGGAACAAAGTACTGAAAGTACCCATCCAGCTGCATTGAGGCCTGCATTTATAGCGTTCATTGAAGTTTTTGGTATCAACACTATCCCTGCATAAACTGCCTGTTGTGTATTTTGGCTATGCACATATAACTTGCAGTCTGACCTAGACTGCACTTAAGTAAACATAACCAAATGATGTGTTTGGGAGGTGTCCTATACATACTGTTGAGTGATTAGTTAGTGATTGCCTCAGATTTTGTCAGTTATATGTTAATGCTTGCTAAATAAAAAATAATTAGACCATTTTCAAATCTAGAGGTAGATAGAATTGTGTATAAGTTATAAAAATTATGAATAATGAACCTTTTTCAGATTAAAATATCAATACATTAAAAATAAACTTTACTCACTTTTATAACTACTTCAGTGGGAATAGAACTGGACACAGGATAATGCTTTTAAAAATTCCATTTAAATTATGGTCTTTTCTATTCACACATCCCCAGTTAGAATAATAATAACTTCTATATTCTATTATTTATAGTTGAAAGATTGAAAAACAGTTTATTCACATTAATAAAATAGAAACACTAATTTGTAATATAGCACCTTTCATGTAAAGAATTCAAAGTAATTCAATTATCATTTACATCATTTCCAGACTAATGACTCTGCTGATTAATTGGAACATGATTAAGAAGTCTTTCTCCTTCTTCTTCAATAAGCCACAGCTGCAGTACATAGCAGTTTTGAACAAGGAGAAACAAAGTGTATTAGTGTCGTTGAAACGAGAATGAATTTCCGAGAATCATATAATAGTCTTTTGAAAAACTACTGTCATTAAAAACAGATGGGCAGAGATTCATTTAAGTAGTGATGTGACAGACACACAAGCTCCAGAAGAATATCACCACAGAAGGTAATGAAGATGGACTGGGTTAGTTAAAAAAGACACCCACTGAATGCTCCCAAGTTCTTTCTTCCAGTGGCTGAGTGGTGGCTTCATATAGCCAAATTCTTCTTGGGCTCTTCCCTTGCTGTGACACAGATGCAAACATGAGCTAAATTAAAACTTTGAAAGTATAGGAAAATTTCCCCTTTCCAGAGTTTGGAACTTTAAGCTGCTATTTAGATTGCCAAACTAGTTATACATATGACAAGAGAATGCAAAAGCCAAGACAAGGCTTGTAATATGTTACCCTAATGGGAGAAGTTATATATCACAATATTTCAAGGAGAAGGTTGATCACCTAGACAAGAAAATGTCATAGGAAAGTCAATTACTGCATAGATATACAGAAATCAATGGGCTTGCTGTTCTCACAATTCTTAACATCTTTTGAGCAAAATAACTTCTCTACTAAAGACATATTTTATATTCCCAGATGGAGGTGGTCAAAGTAAGGCTACGTTCCTGTCAAGATAAGCTGTCCAATTATAGAGGAACATATGCAGTGTAGCTGCTAAAAGCCCTGACTATGAACCCTTCTAATGACTGATTGTGTCTTTACTTTTAAAAAAAGCAATGTAGACCTTTTTAGATGCCTGTCAGGGTCTCACTCAGCACTACTGTCAGTTGTCAGTTATTGCTGCATTACAAGATGATGCAGAAATATCCCCTTGCATTCTTTTCTAGCATGCTACCGTCCTGAATACCAATGAATTCACTAAAGGCATGAGATCATTCTGGGTACACATACTACACCACAGTTCCTGTATCAGTACAAACTGATACATGAATTTGAAATCAAAGTCAAATAGTTAGAAACTATACAGGAGAATTGCACACTTCTGCTGTTAGAAGCCCTCTATAAACAATTTTTTTCCAGTAATTATCAAGGGCAAAGATAGATAAATGCCTGAATCCATTGCTCACATGGCTTCTGGACTGACTGGTTTGTTCTCACAAGTTAGAAAAGAAGGTGTGAAGATCATGTTATACTGCTGTCATACAGCCCTGATTCCATGGTTGGCATGGGGCCAGGCTGTCCCTGAGCAGAAATCAAATGCACCCACACTGGTGGACTAATTTTTGTCAGCTTGCTCACATCCATAAGGTACTTTTCCAAGAGAAGTTTTCTGAAGGAAGTTCTTGGTTTTGTACCCTTCTTCTCATTAAGAACAAGCCTATTTTGATAGATCAGAAGAGGGAAGATAAGATTTTAAGAATTATTACATCCTCCTTGTGAAACTTAAGATTTGTCTAACCATTGAGAAAGATTCAAAACAGGGAGTTTTTCTGTTTCATTAGAAGGCAGTTTTTTTCTGATTTTATTTGATTTGCTAAATGTCTAAATTGAATTACCATTGATTTCTGAGTCTTTGAGAAAGAAAAATGAGACAGAAAAATCATCTGGTAACTGTTAACACCACTGCCAAGGCCAAGTAATTGAGTTACACACTCCCCTTACAAGACTCATCATGCTGAATATTCTAGGCTAGCCTACAATTAGAAAGTGTCTCTCCTGACTACCATACATTTGAATTTTGATCTCCTTTCTGACATCAGAGTGGGGACCATTTACAAGAGCATTTACTAATTTCATAGTCTGGAGAGCAGTGGACATCACTGCTAAATTTGCATTGTGATGGTTAGTATAAGAGCAAGGTTGAGGAAGATATCCTCCACCATTTATAAAATACTATTTCAGAAGGATCCCTAACTGTAGTTTGTTCTCATCTATTACTGAGTTGCACTGCATTACTTCTATTGTGTTTTGATTCTAGGAGTACTGTAGTTCTTGTTCTCCTGGTGTTCTGCATATGCTTCCTAGTGGCTTGTATTATGTACCTACATGTCACACGAGTACAAGTAAGTGATTTAAGATTTTGTGACTATTCTTCCCTTTGGTGTCCATGATATGTTTGTCCTTGGGAATACGCAGCCATCAGTGTATGCTTCACAGATACACAGAGTCTGAAATTTATGTGTTTAAAGTTCCTTATTAAGTAATGTATTAGACTCTTCAAAACCAAAGATCAGTCATCTGAAAGCAGGCTTTATATGTGAGTAATCATTACAGCTGTGCAGCATTCAGTGCCATTATTGCTACACTTTGTTTTTTGCTAAATCTTCCCTGAACACCTACCACTAAATATTGTGTTTAGATAAACTGCTTTACCCTGACTTTTACTCCTTTCTGACTACAGAGCACAATAGTTGTCCCTTTCATTCCAGCTGGTCTGGGTATAAAGTCCTGCTGACATCCCCTCTGTTTTCAAAAATTTTCCTGCCAAAACAGCAGGTGTTTTGATAGTAAAGCACAATGTTTTGCACACACAATCCTTGGCCTTTTCAAAACCTTCAGTAATGATCAACTGTCCTGCATTATATTTTTACAACAGTAACGATGCAGAAGGACATTTGGTTGTTTTAAGGGAGAAAGAGGTTTGCCAGATCAGAATAAAGCATCTAATTTTCTGATTAAAGAAACCTCTATTGGATTAATATAAATTTAGTATTTTCAGACAAATATCAGGAAAAAACACCTACTCAGTTAATCAACTTTTCTGATTAGGACACACTAATTTTAGTTTTAAAAAAACCTTCTTCTACCCTTTGGCAGAAGAAAAGCGTGTGTTTTCATGGGAACATAAATAGTATATTAGCAGAGTATCAGGTACTGAAAAGAACCTTATTTATGAACTTACAAAATTATTTGGGAATAACTTTGATGATCTTTTTTTAATTAGGGCAGAGTAGTTTATCATCTGTTCTTCTCTGTATAGATCGTAGAAATGAAGACTAAGTTTGTAGGAAGCTGCTTCTCTTTATACCATTTCCCTGGGGCTAGTGCAAACATAAGAAGTATTCCATTTGTTTTGTCAGTCAAGAAAATTTGTATTTATTCCAGGTTCCTCCAGAGATTCCATACTATACAGGATCAAATCCAGCATTAGAAAAACAAAGAAATATAAAACCTTAGTAATCACAATTTAAAACTTTGTGGCAAAAAATGTCTTATAATAACTAAAATTAATATGATGTGGATAATGAATATACAATTGTAAAATAATCATTCCTCTATTGTAATCAGTCTTATGGCACATATTTGCTATTTCACACTGCACAAATGACTCAGCTTCTCCATGCTTTAGCATTAAATAACTCAGTTATAAAATTACTTTAATAATATTTTACTGTATCAGTTACACAGAATTTTGGTAATTTGACACTACTTATCTAGTTACTAAAAATTACACAAATAAAAGGAAAACAAAGAAAAGTAAGCGCAAAATTCTATGCTATCATAAAAGTTTAGACAATCTTAGAATGACTTAAAGTCAGAAGTATAAATCTTAATATTAAGTGTCAGAATTTTAATTCAGACATGTCTCATACCTTATCTTTTAAAGGTTTGTTTTCCATTTTAACCCAATAGCCTAGCATGTCAACATTTAAAACATATATGTACTACACAGACCAAAAAAAAATGTATGTGCAATGTGTGAGGACATGTGATCTTTGAATCCATATTTTGCTTTGTCCCTATTAACCATCCAGCATTATCTTCAAACCATGGGTATTATCTCTTTAATAAGCAGTAGATAGCTTTTTTTGTTGCAAACTTAATTGATGGAATATATTTTTTTTTCTTCAAGCAAAATTATTTTGTATTTTATTTATGTGGATAAAACCACATATGTTCCACCTCCCTTGTACATAGGATTCTGGTCTAGTTAAGTGGACAGTTTGATGGATAAAATACCATGGGGATAATCACATTCAGAGCATAGCACTTTATGGTTATATTTTACCTTGAAACCAGTAATAAGTGGGATACTACAGGAGTTTATCCTAGATTCTATCTTGTCAGACATTTTTATCAACAGCCTGGGGAAGGACGTGGCAAATACTCATGTCAAGTTTTCAGATGACTACAATTTTGTGAGAACAGCTGGCAGGATGACTATTGAGAGGGTCCTAGATAGGTTGACAGAATGGGCAAACAGGAATCTTATAAATATAGAATGTATAATGCAAAGTCCAGGCCCTGAGAAGAAATAATACCATGCAGTGACACAGGAAGGAGTAACCAGTTCTGCAAAAATGGCCCTGAGACTCTGGGGGTCAAGAAGGACACTACTGTTGAGCCCCCTGAGGTCCCTTCTAATCAGAACTGTATGATTGTGATGAACGAATGCAGAGTCACTTTTTCATAGTGTAATTTTGGACATTGCTCTATCTCCCTTGAGACACAGCTTTTCAATCTCAGATTCCTATAATCTGAGCTATTTTTTCTTCAATATGCTCAGTTTTATTAAAGGTGATATATCTCAGGTATCCCAATCTATTTTATTGATGCTAGTACTTACACTGGTAAGTAAATTAACTCAGATCCATAATGCAAATCTACTACTAATATTATATTGATTGTTCCACACCTATATTTACAGGGACTTAACCTATATTGAAGCCAGAATATATTTGTAGATTCATTCTTACTTTTCTTTTCCTCTAATTGCTGTATTCTGAAGGCAATAGTAGCCTCTCTCTGACTACTTTGCTGCCTGCTGGAAGCTATGCTTTTGAGGCATGATACCCATGAAATTAAACATCTTTTCTTGAAAACTGTCGACTTTCATCCAAAAATCAGGTGTTTGCTTCCTCCATTTAACCTTAAGTGAAATTAAACCTTGATAAATCTGAGCTTCCTTGTTTTAAAGGACACAGAATAGTCCCCACTTTAAATCTGACTGTTTCTTGGATTGGATTCTTGACCCTTGAAGTCACTAGAAGAAGTCCTGTGGTCTGAAAGATACATCTAGTAGATAATAGATGCCCCACACATTCTTAGTGTAAGGGGAAAGGATGGAAAGCAGCTTTACCTGGAAGCAGAGTTTATCAGAATTACTGGAACATGCCTAAGTACACAGCCTGAAAGACTTACCCTTCCTATCTCACATTCTGCCACATGCTTCATAGCAGCAAGAACTTAACACTTAAGAGTGTGACAAATTGAATCAGGGTAAAAGTGGAGACAAAACGTTCACAAGACCCCATTTCACCAGATATTTTTGTTGTCTACTGATGTTCATGAAAAATTCAATGTTTTTATGAGTCACAATAATTAAAACTACCCTGGCATTTAACCTGCCTGTTATAGCAGAAGACACATATACCTCTCCAGAATTCTGTGCTATCACAGTATGTTCTCTTGGATCACAATTTGCAAGGCAAAGGAGCTGAAAATTTGCAAGGCAAAAGTTGCTTTAGGTATTTTCTCCATGAGAGCAAAATCAAATGACATGCTAAAATGTTATTTGCATCATGAGCAGACATACAACTAAAAATTTCTGAGAGTTTTAATTATAGTGAGAAATAATATATAGCGATAGTAATTTCACATTTATTATCCCCAAAACTGCAATTACCATTAAAATACACCTACACACAGTGAATAACAGTTACTACACAACAATTACTGCAATTTCATCGTTTGCAGTACAGGTGAAATTTCTGCATCCCTTATTCACTTCTCTTTATAGACTACTAAAAAATAACAACCCCAATTTAAAAATACTTTTAATATTTTATATATTAATCCTTTTATTTTCTTTTTTAGTGTTTTCCAGGGTGCCTGACAATACAAATTCGTACCATTTTGTGTATTTTTATTGTGATCTTAATATACTCTGTGGCTCAAGGCTGTGTGGTGAGTATTTGAATCAAGTTTCACTTAAGTTAGCATCGTATTTTAAGAACACGCTTGCACAGATCCCTTAAACACATACCATATTCTAATCTGATGAATTCCTACTTGTTTTATTTTTCATACTTGCAGAGCATGCTTCTTCAAAATTAAACTGCTTTGCTTCAATTGGAACTTCTTTTGGCATGAGACAGTGTATTGAATTAGGAATGGCAAAGCCATTATCAAATTACACAGATAATACCTCTTCAAAACAAATATAAATTTGTATTTCAAACTTTAGCATCATGTAGACTGCTGGTGTAATGTACTTTATGGGAAAACCATTTTTAAATGTTCAACTTGCTTACTAGTTCAATGGATTATATTTTGTGACAGACAAGGCATGGTGTCAAAACAAAATTACTCTTTTTTGTGGCAACTTATAGAACATACCTTTGTGTAATAATGGGGATATTTTTAGTCCAGGCAGATCAGAAAAGACAGAAAGATCTTAAAATATTGATAGTTTTGTGTAACGAGAAGAGGTGCTTACACTGTGCTACTCATATGATCCATCCACATCTAAAAATCTTCATTATATGAAGTGAATGTGCTCAATACTTCTGCAAATTAAGCTTCCTTTACTGTAGATTAGCAGCGAATTCAACATGGTCAATTTGAATTCAAACGGTATTCAAACTTCCACCTAAGTATTTGTCAGTCAGTTGCCTTGAGAAAATCCTAGGGCTCATCTTTAGCATTTTGGCTGCTAATGCTAATGAATTAAACAGTTAGGGTATTCAAAGGAAAGAATCCACATAAAAATAGCACATGAAACACAATTTGAAATACTGAGAAGGCAGATGTTTCAACTTATGCTTCTCTTCAGGAATTTGACAATATATTCTGACCATTAAGAAGACATGAGCAATTCTCAGTGCTGAGATGCCGAGCCCTATATTTTGTATTTTGTGTATTCACTCATCCCTGGACCTGCCCTGAAAACATAATAACTACGTTATCCCCATGAATTGACTGGGCAGAGGATCCCTTTTCTGTGGATTCCAGTGTCCTGAGAGGAACCAAGAACTACTGATGTTGGATATTTCTGGGAATTCCTGAACACCATCTGTGTGAGTAACACACAGCCCTAATAGCACACAGATGTATATATGGTTCCTAATGCGGACATAAATGCAAAATGCATAGAGCTTTGCAGTGATTCCAGGCTAGCTTCTCAGCAAATTCTGTGTATCTGACTTCGGAATTGAGATTAAAGTTATGACAGCTAAAACCTTTGTGAATCAGCCTCCGGATCTGACCCTCTACTTTGACCAAATGAAACAACCACCATTGTTGCCACTTAAAGATAGTGAGAATGAGGAACAGATACCATAAGCCCTAAGGCAAGGCTGAAAAACAGCGGAAGACAGATTCGAATTCAGAAGTAGAATTCTAATCAGTAGAAATTATTAGTTCCTGGAAAGTAATGCCTCTAGAATTCTCATCTGTCAGAAAAGCTAGGTGTTGATGTTCCACTGCTGGTTGTATAGCAGATGATATTTTCCTGAATGGATTCCAGATCACTGATGAAGCCCTCATGCATTTCTATGTTTTTGGATAAGTTTAGTACGAATGCATTTTTAAGGATATTGAACAAAATCCCATTAAAGGGGATTTTTCACTTCACTTTCCCAATCTCATTTCATAGTGTTACCCATTATGAGTTTAACTCACTTTTTTTATTTATTATGTTCATCTTTCTAGGTTAATACAACCCCTTCTAAAATACGTGGTTTAATTACCCTTCAGGATGTCAGTTATTTTACAGCATGCTATAAAATTTTATTGTCAGTGGTCGGGATGAAATAAAAAGGTCTTATAATGCACTTCAAAAGAGATGCTTAAGTACAGGGCAGGGCTTATGTTATGGTGCTTGTTAAATCAATTTCACACTACTCTCTCTACAACACTGCTACTCTCCCCTACTTATACTAACTCTTTTCCTTTGTAATGGGTGACTTATCCTTTGGACTTCAGTTAAAACTGGAGCTCTAAGGACTTGCACTATTCGCCAGAAATTCCTTTCTTCCTTGGGTAACAGCTCTGAGATATATACATGACATTGTCTTTAGGAAAAGCAGGTTAGATTTCCCCAAATTTCCCATAAGAAATATATGAAAAAAAATATTTTCTAGTGTAAGAAGGAAATGGAACTCCTTGGATAACTGAAATGACATGGGTAGTTAAGGATGAGTTCTTGTATTTGAAACATATGTGACAGCAGAGGTAGCTGTGAGATGGGAAAAGATGTTTAGTTTTTCACTCAATTAAAATGTTTTATTTTGTATTTAAGTATTGAAGTTTATGTAATTTACATAGTCAGTAAAACAATAATTTATTTCTGTGCTCTGGAAAAGAACCTTTTTCACCTGCATGGCCAAATAAAATGTTAACTGAAGTTCCTTAATTTTGCAGGAATATCCTGGCTTGAGAACCTCTTAGGTTTGAACACTGAGAGGGAAACTATTCAACTAAGCCCATACTTCAATTGGTTGCCCTTATTGGCATCTAATTGACAAACTGTGTCTCTTCCCTCAGTTGAGCATTGCAGGAAAAGGAGATTTCAATACAGTATTGAGCTGAGTGGGAACTCCACAGCCATATTTTTTCCAATTACCAATGAACTACAGTCAGCCTCCATAGCAACAACATTTCTGTTTATTTCATATTTAACTTTTTCCCCTTCTCACCTCTTCTGTCTTTTCTAGGTTGGCTGCATGCCTTGGGTTTGGAATACCAATTCCAGCAGCTCAATAATTATAATTTCTCCTGGTGGAACAAATAAAACTATGAATGAACTTCCATGTGACACAGCCCACTATGCTTTCCTTTCCTGTGTAGTGGGGACTCTCACCTTGGCAATATTTCTACGTGTATCTTCCTTGCCAAAAATTATTCTCCTGCTTTTTGTTACAATTTTGTACATAGTTATTCTGGAACTCAGTGGTTACAGAAAAGCAGTAGGGTAGGTATCTTGCAAAATTAAGCAATGGGTAATTTTCTATAGATAGTCACACATTGACTACTTATTTCTGAATTGTCCTCTAGTGTTCAGCACTGCCTAGGAGTAGAGCATAAGAAATACATCAGTCATCCTCTCCCCAGAAATTGTAGGATCTAGTAACATCCATCAACAGGAGAGCAGCTTTTGGGAGCTGGCAACTCTTGCCCCATTGTTCTGTAGTTTTATGTCAATGCACCCCAGCTGAACACACTGCAGTCTAGATATGGTACGAAATAGAAAAACACAGTTAAAAATTAACTGCATATTTCAGTAGCCCTCAATCAATCCCAATTCCAATAAAGTTTTTGAGCTTTTCAGTGTTTTTATATTTCCTAATTAAAAACATACACACACATCACAATAATGCCTAGCATTTAAAAATCCTCGAGAATTGCATGTTGGTGTGATGCAGTGATCAAATGTACTATCACCCATCTCCCTGCCCAGATGAGCCTCTTCAGAAAAAGCTAGTGATTAGGAGGTACCCATGTATTCTAAACTAAGGATCTGATATTAAATGTGCAGTGTTAGGTATTAGACCTGGAATAACCCATTTATTTTCTTCTTATTTTTAAGGGGCGGCTCCTTTTATATGCGTGGCTATGAACCAATACTAGCTATTTTGCTATTTTCTTGTGCTTTAGCACTGCATTCAAGACAGGTGGACTTGAAACTGCGTCTGGACTACCTCTGGGCAGTGCAGGTAAATCACAAGACTTCATACTATCAATGCAGACAAAATGATGTCTGACTTTTTGAATTGGTTTTCCAACACTTTCAGAACAAATTATTGGACTCAGACACTCAAACTTTTTCATGTCTCTTGGAGTTCACAGAGAAAGATTATTTTAGAGCTTTCTTTCCACAGACCTTTACAATTCATTTTTCCTGGAGAAGTGATTTTTTTTTGTTTCTTTGCAGTTGCTCCAGTATATCATTAATCAAATAATATATTTATATCTAAGATGTATTCAGAATAAACTGTTAACAATACAAATTTGAGATAAAAAAATTAAATCCATGGGAGTTTTTATCTTATATTACAAACAGACTGAAAGTAAATCAATATTCAGGTAAATTGAAAAGAAGAAGGTAAAATTGATAAAAGGAAATATTTAAACCTATGTTATACAAAGAAACTATGGAACTCTTTACCAGAGGAAGATCAGAAATTTATTTAGATACCAAGTGCAGGGATCATTTTTGAAAATATAATTCCTAGCTATCATAAACACAGCAAAACCCTATAGAAATGATATTAGTCATAACATGGGCATCAGGATATGTCTGCATCCTGTCACACCTCTCAGAAGTCTAATTCCCACCTTCAAAGTGTTTTACACTGGTCCCCAGTGGAAGGAGAAAGTTGAATATGTAAGTTTATTTGGTGGAATTTGGAAGTTATCCAAATTACACACCTGTTCTCACTGACACCCTGTTAACTATTTTGTCAAAAGGACCATTTAAATCATTATAGTGCTTGCTTTTACACATAACATAAAAACTGGAACATATGGGTTACTGGTGCACTGGAACATATCCCTGGCTCCACTGTATTACATAAAATGGAGAAATCAGTTATTACTTAGTTCTATTATTTTCTGCTTGAAAAGCTTTTCTATCTAGCAGTTAAGCTGTGTGGGGGTTTCTTGTTTGACTTGATGTCCAAGACTGTGTTCCCTTCTTTCATGCTTTAAGATTTTCTTGTTCTATAATTTCCTTTAACCCTGTACAGTTCAACCAAGTGCGATTCTTTAATTTAATTTTTGTCCTATGACCTGCAGTATTGATAACTGCTGTGACTGTCACCCTCAGAAGGTTGTTTTAGATAAATTGATACTAGTTTCTCTTTGCTGTGGTGCCAAATACACTTTTCAGATGGTAAAAAAGATTGCCTGATTTTGAAATTCAGTGCAGTACCTTTCTTATTGGATAGTCACTAATTTTTTATGAGTTGGCACACAGTGGAAGTATGTGAATGCCATATGATCCATTAATACAAAACTTCTGTATGTTATTCCTAGCCCTGAAATAGAGTAACAGTAATGTACCAATTTTGCTATCCTGTGACCTTTCAGTGGACCAAGAATGAATTCCGGCATCTTAAACACTTTTCGTCACTCCAGCAACTGCAACTTGCATGGCAAATTGTGCATCGCTAATGGAAGTACTTAAAGATTCTTAGTTTTAAGTTAGCTTTTAATTAGTAATTAATCCATTTAAAAAATTGGAGTACAGGAGTATGGCATGCTTTTCTAATGAAAGACCAGACCTGGACTTGGAAATGGTAAAGGAAAAAATGTGGACTTTTTCTGTTTTCTTGGAGACAAGTTATATAAAAATACCTAGTCATCATCAGTATTGTTAAAACCATTGTGAACTTTCTCCAAGGGATAGTAAGAGGAGATAAGATGGCATTCTCAGGTACCATTTCAAAAAGTGCTTTTCATCTGAGAAAACCAAATGCCATTTTCAGATCTTTTCAATTGTAAATCAGATACATATGTGGTGCCACACTGTGTGTGAGATTTGCGTGGTAATAATGAGAAAGGAAAAAAATCAGTTTAGGTAGAAAATTCATAATTTAGGGATCAACATAACTAGCATTCTTTGAAATCAGTATGCTGATTTCAAATTATTATGATTTCAATGATTATGTTCTTGGCCTCTTAGATTATCTGGGCATATACCTTTCATCTTCTCAATTCCAAGTGGAAGATCTATTCCCTGTACAGTAAGTAATAGTGGATAACATGTTAAAAAAAATACTGTTCTGCTTTCCACTCTGCGTATTGGTTGTAAATGATATTGAGTCCAAAGATTAATTAACATAACAACCAGGAGTACTGTCCATGATGGATGTTACAAAAGTGGTTCTTTTGCTTGCCTATTCAAATAAATAAGCAAAAAAAAAAACAAAAAAAAAAAAAAAAAAAAAAAAAAAAAAAAAAAAAAACAAAACAAAACAAAACAAAAAAAACCAGAAAAAAAAACCCCAAAACATGGTCTTTGAATTTGCTAGGTTCTACAGCACAGTAAAAATCTGAGTAGTAAAGGCTCAGGGAATACTGTTTATTGGAAATACCTATATGTTAAAGCTGCCTTTGATTAGTTAGCAAACTCCAGGCTACTAATTGTTCAGCAGCCTTTGAGAGGCGACAAATAAGAGCCAGTTTTCTGTATCTGCTGGACTGCAGGAGTCCTCTATAAGGCTAAAAGCAGTCTTGATCATGTTTCTCTACAGCCATAGTACTACTGCTTACCATTATACCATGTTGGTTTAACTTGGTTATAATTCTGGTAACAGAAGTTTTAGAAAAGACCATTGACATAGTGCACAGGATCTATGGAGATTTTCTGTTTTGCAAAGTGAGTGTGCTAATTCTTTATGCAAACACTGACTTGCATGAACAAAATGCTAAATGTAGATTCACATCTCCCAGTAGCCAGTCCCTGGTATGTGAAGATATTCCAACATGGGTCAGCTTGTCATTTTAGGAAGCTTTTCAATTGCTGGCTTACATCTGGGGGAATTTCAGACCCAAAGGCTATTCTGGAAGCTTCAAGCAATTTGATTGCCTACTTTTAGTAACATTCATTATTGGGCTAATCCTGTAAAAATGTTCTCAGATGAATACAAGCATTTGTGGCATAAGCTGCAATAAAAAGGATTTCATAACTTCTTTTATTTCATCACGAACAACAGTCCAGTACTACTAAATTATACTTTAAACCATGAAAGTATCCTGAAACTAATCAATAGGAATACATAGATACATATTCGGTGGTCTCTGCTAAGGTCTGAAGAAAACATAATTCCACATATTTTTTCACCCCATTATGGGAAAAAGAGTACTTTGAAGAGCAGTTTCAAACAAGAAAAGCTGATTAAGAAAAATTACAGTTTCAAGACAAGTTAATCCAACTTCCATTCATCTAGGCTGCATTACAAGAACAGTGATAATACAGTAGAATTTGTTTACATTGTGTGGAAAAATAATGTACTATGGATGATATGTTGTTAAAACATTTATATTTGTACCTTCTGTTCACAAATCAGTGGTGTTACAGGCTCTTGTTAATTTGCTATGGTTTTATTTCTGTACCAGATTCAACTTTTCTGAATATCACAGTATTTTCAAAAAATACCTGTCGGTTGTTTTCTTAATATTTTTAATAAGCAGTGGGAGGAGAATTTAATTTTCTGCATAATATTATTGTGTAACTCTGTGTTCCTCATATGACAATAACTATGAATAGCAAGATTTTATTTATTTGTGACTGATAATAATTTTTGATTATGCAAATTACTTATCAGAATTGGGAGGAAAAAAAGAATGGACAAATAAATACAAGTGATAAATTAATGAAGATCCTAAAACTACCAAAAAATGTAGTTGCTCACTCACCCACAATTTGTCACAGGAGGAAAACAAGAATAATATGATTATATTACTTAATTTGGCATTCAATTGGTGCATTCTTTAGGGAATACTAGAATATCATTCTGCTGTCTTTTCTAGCCCATCACACTCGTAAGAAATATGAATTTTACAGCCTACAGGCAAGACTCGCCAAGTGTCTTAGCACTTCCACTCAAAAACCTGGCTCTACAAAAGCAGTGTGATGTTTCTTCCTTGTGGATGTAGTGCCATCTTCAGGTGCAAAAAATGAGATTCCCATGGCACTGGTGCCCAGCTGGTTTTTAACTGAATCTTGAAACTGTATTCTCATGTGGTGTCTATTTAATCAGTGACTATTCTACAGCATTTTTAGGCTTATTAAACTGTCAGGTGATACAACTGTTCAGACCACTCCCCAAACAGAGGATGGGTAAACACTTAGCAACATTGTAAAAACTGTAGGATCATGTGTAACAATGTAAAATGCAGTAGATGTTAGTTAGACTGATATAAAACACATAGTACTAAAAACATCTTAAATTTTGTCACCATGTCCAGTGCAAAAATAAAGCCTGCTTTTAAATACTGCAGCTCTGCAAATATAGTTGGGTTCCACAAAATTACCTAGCTGCTACAAATACCAAACAGATATAAGCAGAGTGTGAAAAATTATATTCGTCGTGCCAATGCACTTTCTTTCTTGTTTATTTTCACAATATCTGTCTTGTATTTTGAGTTAGTAGCTATTGCATAAATATCATGCTGGCAGCTTTCCTTAATTAACCAATGGGAATAGGGTCAAATAGATGAAGGTTTAAATGCCATTGAGCTTTTTGGCTAATATTCCCACCAGGAATGTAAATACCTGTGGTCTGTGCTATTTTAATCTTTCAGCCCCAATTACGCCTTCTCCGTTCCCAGTGTCTGTTTTTCCTGAGAAAGAATGATGTCTATTCATCCTTTAATCTCAGCTGCTCAAGAGTAGGCATTAGAAGCTTATGAGTCACAAGGAGGAAGGACAGTTTCCATTGCACTTCCCTGAAAGGCAGAAAGCAGGAACCTGGATAAAGGTCCAGAAAATAGCAGTAATTGGCTTACTTCCCTCCCGTATTATCTCTATCATGGGATAGTTTTAGAGTCCTCACTGTTGGACATGACCAAGTCTTTTTTTATTTCACCTTCCTTCCTTTATCTTCCCTTCTGAGAGATGCAAGGAGACATTTCCTCCTTCTCCAAGCAGCTCCTGAGGAATTGAATAAATGACAGCTATCTTAGGCAGTGCAAGGCAAGAGGATAGATACTCAAGCTCTGAGCAGTAGCAGCAGAGGAGGTACACTTCCGTTCATATTCCTAACAGATTACTTCAATAATAAAGTAGGATGTTAGATGTGGTTTAAATGCAGTCCATGCAGAGCCTCCATCTCAGGTACCAGGAACAATACAGCAGGATTAACCCATTGTGTGGTCTAAGATAATATGCCTTTGCTTTTCAGCATGAGAAAGTAACTCAGAAGGAGTGCTGTGCTAATTCCATGAATGTTTTGCTTCTAGTTCTGGGGCTAGATCAGGCAGACCTAACACAGCTTAGTTTTCAGGGCACTGTATTGCCCCACCTGGGTATTATCAGCACAAATTTCTCCCAGAACACATGGAGAGAGTGCAGTTCTCTCTCTCTCTCTCACTCTCTCTCTCTCTTTCTCTCTCTTTCTCTCTCTCTCTCTCTCTCTGCTAGCTATGAGGTGCTTGGCCTCAAATAGTTCAGGGAAGAAAAAGTAAAAAGTAAGAGCACTCCCCTTGTTTTGCTGTTTGCATATTTTGCCTCTATTTTGGGTTTCCTATTATTACCCACCATGAATCACAGAATCACAGAATCACCATGATATTATTCAAGGACTTTCCATGATGTTAGGGGTTTTTCATGCGAAAAAAAAGATTTTCTCAAACCTAAGTGATTAGTTTGACCATGACTCAGGAAAGCTGAGATCCTGTTGCTTAAGCAGTCTGCCAGCACTGCCAGCTATGGGGACCCTTCATGGAGTAGTCTGCTAGATCGCAGTGCAGTTCAACTGATTTGTTCAGGGTCACATGCCAGAAGAGAGACCTCCTTATGTGTCTCCACACCTTAACTCACTGCCATTGACGCTAGCACCCTTGAAGAATCCACATTAACAGTTTGCAGATAACACTCTTTATAAATAAAAAACAGTAGCAAGAACTCAAGGTTTTAGGATTGCTGGTGATAATATCTGACTGCAAAAATATATTCAAAGCAATGTACAGACAAGCTCTAATCCCCAGTGAGAACTTGGTAGAGATAATCATTCAGCATGCATAGAGTACACTTCTTACCCCATAGGTGTCCATATGGGGGAGAAGAGAGGTTCAGCCTACCAGCTAATCCCAGAAGTTATGATGGAGCCTTCTCTCCTTTCTTAATTCTTCTTTACATTTATGAAAAGACATTAGTCATACATATTACTCAGTGAGAGGTGGTCATGCCTTGCAGGCAGGTGACATCAGTGAGTGTAGTATCTGAGATAACCTTGGGACGGGGATATGTGTCAATCTAAGGAGGGTAATTTTGCTGTAGCTTCTGATTCAATAGCAGGACATCTTCTTTTATCTCCCTAGGCTTCCAGCAGCTGCATGGCTTATCAACTAAAAAGTACCACCAAGTACCCTCTTCTGCAAAGGTTTCAACAGAGCCTGGTTGCAGTATTTCCACTCCACCCATTCCACCCCACTCCATTCCACTCCACCTCACCTCACCTCATCCCACCCCGCCCCACCCCACCCCACCCCACCCCACCCCGCCCCGCCCCACCCCACCCCGCCCCGCCCCACCCCGCCCCGCCCCGCCCCGCCCCGCCCCGCCCCGCCCCACCCCGCTCCACTCCACTCCACTCCACTCCACTCCACTCCACTCCACTCCACTCTCCTCTCCACTCTCCTCTCCTCTCCATTTAGTTCACCCTAGATTGTACTGTGTGTGGAAATCTGGATGTGCTGACTGTGGCCATCCAAGGAGTAGCAACCACACTTCCCCCTATATTTTCCATATTATCTTTAATTTTAGCTCAAGTCTTTTTCCCACAGTCTCATTTTTGGCAACCAAACTATCTCAGACCCAAAACTGTAGTTGACAGTTTTGCATCTGAAAAGGGAAGAGACACGTTAGGTGTGTTGAAAATGTAACACTCTATCATTAGCAATGGTCACGTCATTAATGCTTTCTCTGCTCTTAGATGAGCACCACCTCAGACATGACTCTGATAGCTTGATTTGAGCCATTAGCTCTTCACTCAAGAGCTCAGTTCTCTACTTCTTAGACACAGGTGTTCTTTGCTCTGAAAATTTTGTTGTGGTTCATACATAATGATGATTATGCTGTGGTTCATACATAATGATATTGGAGAATCTTTTCAATAATTTCTTCCAAACTTAACAGTTTGGTCCACAGTTGGGCAAGGCAGATGAATTTGATCACACATTTCCACATCAGAAATTAACAACATCTGCCAGTGATCGAGCAACATCACTACCCATACAATGCATCAAACTGATTACTCCACTTACCTACCCCTACTTGATTCCTTTGATTAGTCCAGAAATCTCCACACCTTATTGTTCTTTAGGAAGGTATTCTGCCCCATAGTGTATTGGTAGGTTACCTGAGAACCTTAACATCCCTAGGAAGAAAGCAACAAAATTTCTTGTTCAAAAAATAGAGGAATGGATAAGGAAGACCAGAATGGATATTTCATTAAGATCATCAATTCAGTTCACAAATCTATTTGCTGTTGTCAGAATAAAATTTGCACATTCCAGTGTGATGTAACATGGGAGTTGCAAGCTTGGTGTGGATTTTCAGCTGAAGAATCTTTTTATTCTTCCTATTAAAACATTTAAATTTCAGCAGTCAAACTAAATGCCAGAGGCCATTTCACATGTTTATATAAAACAGTAAGTCAGAATCATACCACCAAAATAATAAGGGAAGGATATTTTAAGAAAAGAGCATGTGAAATTTAAACGATGAAATAAGTGTCAAGAAAACAGCTCACAAATAGGAAATAGATAGTTAGAATAAAAGCTTCAGGTATATTTCTTGCAAAACTTAATTGCTACTTAGAGTTTACTGATATTTCACCTCTAGAAAAAGTTAATTTCTTATTACCCAAATTAGAGTAGGAGCTGAGAATTTATTTAAAGAGGCAACAATTCCTGAAGAACTTATGTTTATGAAATCAGTTCTCTTTCAGAATTCTTTCTACTTGTAAAGAAATTTTAAAATACAGAAGAAACTGCAGGCCAAATAGACTGCATAACCTGAATAAAAATGTTGTTTCCAAAGTTTTGTCATGTAAAACAAAACTTAGCTACCTGGAAAAAAAATCATATGAAATAATATTGTTAGACTATACAAAAGTAAGAGGTGACTGGTTTTCTCCTACTTAGATAGGAATGGATGCTGAGAAATTACTTTATTATAGATCAGGATACCAAATTTCAGATATAAATGGGACATCAAGAAATATTAGAACAGGTTCATCAATGATTTATGTGACCGAGATTTCTCAACAATGCCTGAGAATTTTTTGCTTTCCATTCTTCTACTGACTGTAATTAGATAAACAAAATCCCACTGAGATCACAGTAGAGTATTTGTGTGTGTGATTGAGGAATAAAGAATAAACTGACTTTTGTGAGATGAATATGATACTGATCAAATTTTTTCTAATTGAAATCAGTGTGAGGCCAAAAGTCACTCTAAGAACAAGGAGCAAATTCCAGAGAAGTAATTTTGCACATGAATCTACAAAAGACTAGGCTGGAATTTGCAAACCTAGGAGTCCCAAATGAGATTCCTAGATATCCAATATTTTTCAAATAAGGGGTCTGATTTTTAAAATAATTTCCTACTATATGACTCACACTAACTCTGTAAATCAAGCACTTGTAATAAGATGCCAGTATCTTGGGTTAGGGACCTTAGATGTGTTAACTCCTAAGCAGACTTTCTGAATGCTGTCATTCCTATCAATAACAGAATTTCTGTTGTGAAGGAACTATATATATTTTCATGACAAACACCAGCATAATTAAAACAATCTCTAGAAATGTTAACTATTTTTATATCATTTTTTTTTAATTGTACATCATTCTTAAGGATGCTCAATTTTAAAATCTTTTTCTCTGTTGAATCTATAGTCTTATCAGATTTGTTTCAATTTTACTGCAAAGTACATAGGTTTCCTTTAAACACTGGAGATTCTCACTGGCTTCTTTTGTCGGAAAGATGATCAAATACTGCTGAACTACCTGGGAAGTAATTGGCCTCCAAGGCCAATGTGATTTAAGTGGGATTATTCTGGTTTATTCTGTAAATATAACAAGTTTCTATTTAAAAGAACAGAGAACTACAGAAGATACCAACACACTTAGCTGATCATATCCTGAAAACAGCTGAGAGACTTTAGCTTGAATTTCTAATGATTTAAAGGGTTTTTGCCTAATGTAGAAGCATGGTACAGGAGAACTGTTGTCAATCTACATTGCTACTCTACATTTTGCTCATTTTAATTCTAAAGAATGAATTAATACAAGCTATTTGATAGGCTCAGCCAAGTTTTTGTTTTTTGGAAAGGTTTTTCTTTTCCTCTATTCCAACAGGCAGAAGAAGAGAGAGATGATATGGAGAGAGTCAAGCTGGATAATAAAAGAATTCTTTTCAATCTGTTGCCAGCCCACGTTGCACAGCATTTTCTTATGTCTAATCCAAGAAATATGGTAAACCAAGATAAAATTTAAATACATGCTGTATGGGCCTGTGTTGCTTGGGCCACCTTAAACCTGTATGTTTTCAAGAAAGGCTTGGAAAAAACTTTGCTCATGTAAAAATAGTAGCTTTGTAAAAATTTACATTCAAGAATTAGTTTGGGATTATTTCTTTTGCTGTATGGTCCTCCTTCTCTGAAGAACTTTAATAAACTTTAGGATAAGGGAAGGGTGTCATTCAACATCAATGTAGCCAAGTACCTGAGTGTAAATCACTTTTTAAAAAATTTTCCAATCAATGTAGAATATTGGAATTTATCACAGTATTGCATGAGCTCAGTTTGGTTCTGAATGGTGAACTGTATGAGTTGCCAGACACTTATGTATTAACCACTCTAGTTCTGGAAAGTATGCTACCAAAACGATCTGTTTAAAGTTAAAAACAGAGAACTGTATGTAGTTAAGGAAGACATAGATTAACATAAAAGGCTGAGTGAGTAAATAAATTGATTCAAGAAGGCTTTATGAGAGTCCTTCTGGTCATCTGAAAGCCATCAGCACTGGAGTAGCTGTAATGTCTATGATACTGTTCTTGAGAGTTTGGGTCAAAGTATTTGAACCACAGAAGAGTGATTTTTCTTTTTTGAGCCTTCCAAATTTTTTAAGCAGAAACATTACCATACAGAACAGCATTATATTATATAGGACTCCACAACAGATGGAAAGACTTGAAGGAGTGAGGCCAGTTCTGTACCACAGGATAAAATTGGTCCATCTCTTATTTTACTTATACAACAAGATTAAGAAAACTAAATTATTTTTCTCGTACAATAGAAGTTCTGTAGCTGTTAAAACTTTGTCCAAATTTTGGCTTACTGCTTCTGTGTCTAAACAGAAAAAAAACCCTAAGTTGTTTTAAATGGGTTTAATACCTTAGGTGTTAATTTTCTATTGTGGTCTTGAATGCAGGTATTAAGAAGTCTGGTTTTCTCTCTAGAAAAACTGATGTCCTTTGTCGTAGCTATTGCTCAGCAGTAGAATAAGTATTGTAATAATGATGTTTAGTTTAGATTAATCTTTTAAAATAAACATTACATCTGCTTATGAACTACAGGACCTTTATTACCAGTCATATTCACAAGTGGGAGTGATGTTTGCTTCCATCCCAAATTTCAATGATTTCTACATCGAATTGGATGGCAATAACATGGGAGTTGAATGTTTACGCCTGTTAAATGAAATTATTGCTGATTTTGATGAGGTAAGGTCTAAACACTTTGTCTTTTCACCATATCAGCTCTCCTAAATAACTATCAATGAGATTATCTGAAGTAAAGCAGTGTATCTTGAACTGTTTAATAAAACAGTACTATAAACATCCTATTTAATCATAGTTGGTGTCCACTGGGCTTCTCTAAAGTGCCAAATTTGTACTTTTAGGCACATGAGTCTGACCTAAAATTTCTCTTATATACGAAGAATATCAAAAATGGAAGTTAATGGCAGTTTTTTCTTTGACCTCAAAATGGGCAAGACTCAACTTAGCAAATATGATATGGTTTAATGAACTTGCACATATTGTCTGATAACTATGGTTTCTTGTCTAAAATATTATGTAATATTTAACAGTTTTATGTTTTAAACAAAGCTTATGGACAAAGAATATTATAAAGATATTGAAAAGATCAAGACAATTGGAAGTACTTATATGGCAGCTGTGGGACTTGTACCTACTTCAGGAACTAAGGTAAGAAGATTTTACATAACAGTCTTAATGTGAAGGAACCATTTTCCTTCAGTTTCAAGAGGAACATCAGAAACACAACTAATTCTGTGAGATTACTGATAATTTTTATTATTTCTTTACAACATTTTGAACCTGAAATTCAAAGAACAGCTGGAGCCACACTTGCTTATTTGGCTTCTCTTGTGATTTCATTGTCTGCAGCTTTCAATTCCCTGCAAAATGGTGTTTAAAAGCCTCTAAATCAGTGGTAGTGTTTTAAACCTGGTATCTTAGATGTCCTCCTAAGAAGCATGGAAAGGGAGACTCCAGGTGTAGTCAATTGCTGCAAAACTAGCAAAGACTATTAAAAGGCAGTTTTTGCATATATTTTTAATATTGAAATCTGAATATAACCTACAACTAAAAGAAAACATCCTCTCCCAACCCCCATTATGGATAGGAACTTTGTGCTAGGTACAGTGCTGCACTGTACCTGGTCCCTCCAAATCAGCTCTTTGTCTCTACCATTAGCATTCTATTTACCACTTTAATTACTCAGCAATAAAGAAAGTCAAACTCATTTCAAATCCATTTCAAGTCTGGGTCACTGTTCTTCTGTATCCTCATCAGTACCCTTGAATATTTTTCTTACCTTAAGTTACTGTCTTGTAACAGAGATTTCCTAGATTTCCAAGCAGCATCTGGAAAGTCAGAAAAACCTTTGGGCGTTATATAAATGCATAGTATACAGAGTACTATGCACATTAGTAAGGACACTAATAAAACTAAATCATTAAAATGTTATAAAATTAATAATATAAGAATAGTATGAAAATTAAAGCAATCCATTGACCTCATCTGCCCAGAATTTTCAAACACTTCTCCCTTGTTCTGACAGGCATGTACATATGTTGTAGATATATATTGAATACATTAGTGCATATAGTTTAGCATTCCAAAATACTACAAAATTAGAAGGCAAAACCAAAAAAAAACAGAAGATGCCCTGTGGACATTGCTACAACAATGTTTTAGCAACAACTATCCCTGCTAAATAAATAAAAAACTAGACCACATTTAAATCAATGGTTCGAATCATGTTGGAGTATATCACACAACTAACCTTCTGGTCTGCAAAATATTTCCAGCTGATGCCTTCCGTTTTATCATTCCTAGAAATCTTTACATTACCAAAAAAAAATGTATTTTTAAAAATCTGTTTATCCTAAAATGTTTGACTCATGGGTTCTGAGACAGCCAAAAAACACTGATCTTTAGAATTTTTTCAATGTGTGATCTCAGGCAAACATGCAGTGGCATACTTTTGTGTCTGCTATAAATGCTCTTTGAACTACAATCCTCAAAGCAAGTATGTTATTGGGTAACTTTGGCAGCGTATGTTCCAAAACCTAAACATGTTTGTCTCTTGTATTTTATAGTTGTTGAGTGAAGGGTCAGCTGAGTTAGTCCAGTACTAAAAATCCTGTTCTGAGCTTATGATAGTAATGCATTTTAAATCACTGCAGAAGATCCTGTATAGAACTCTGTCTTCCTTTTAAATCTTGGAGCAAATACTGACTTTTTCTATATATGTATTTATTAAAAATTGTCTGTCGTATGAAACAGACAATAATTTTTACTTTAACTTAGGGTTTCAGCTCTTCTGTGATCTCTCCTTACTGTTCATGTGATGTAAATTAATAGAAATTACTCACATCCTCTTGCCAGCTTCCCAGTAGTTCTTCAGCATACACCTGTATATTAGAAGTCTGATAATCTTGGCTGGCCTGTCATACACAATCACTGCCAGCTTCACACAGTCCCTGGGCTGTCCTATGGAGTCATATGTGTCAATGGGGAACCATAAGACACTCAAGTGCCTCTGGTCTGCCCTCTGCCAGGAGTGTCCCAGGTTCAACAGAAAATCTGGCACAGCCACTGATTTTGAATCACTAATTTCATACTAGGATGTGGACATGAACAGAAAGCAGTGGATGGCATTAACTGTGCTCTTACCTGAGGATACTTATACACTTAAGAGCCCAGTACTCTGATGAAGTTAAATATTTAAATCCCTTATTTTACCAGACTCCTGTTTCTGCACCTTCATTTCAGTAGGTGACTATAGTAAATACTCATTGTCCTAATCCTATTGAGAGGCATCTGTCACCTGCAGTGCACTCAGTATTTGTCACCAGTCCTTTCTCCAGCAACCCTGAAGGACATTGCAGGAAAACAGAACATTCATCAGACAGCAAACAAATGGAAGAGAGGAAACATAAAGATTAGAAATCAAATAAAACTATGCACTGCTCTTTCCCTACTCCAGACATTGAATATTTTATCTTTCTCTGTTGGAAATGTACCTATTAGCTCGTTAAGTTTAATTCTTCTTCTTCCTTTGTTTTGGTGATTCTGAAAAGAGTAGAACTAGCTAGTTCACACTTAAAGAAGCAGAACGCCAGACATCATGCAGGTAAATAAAAATATCCTTCTCAAAAGCTGGGACTGGCACAAGGATGAGTCTTATAATTTTTTGTAAATTTCTTAGTCACATAAAGCAAACCTTTCAAACTGAGGTGAACGAAGGAAATAGCAACCTGTTTCTCGGTTTTTTCAGCCATTGTTTAGCGCTGCATTTATAAAATTTCACTACCATGGCAAAAACTCAGCAAGCTTTCATCTCATGCCAGCTTGCACAGTTCTGTTGTGTAACACCCTACTGAAGCTGCCACTGACCCTGCATTTCTTTCACCATATCCTACCTTTACCCTACTTTCACTTTTCAAATTTGTTTAAAAATTCATATTTCTTATTCAAATAAGAGCAGAACATAAGAAAAGTCATATGGAGATGAGTCAAAGGTTTATTCTGGTAACCTGTCTTTAACTAACCTGGGGGGAGAGCATGAGTTACAAAACAAATATACAAACCTCTCTTTTCCACTTTCTAATAATATGCTGCTTAGATTTCTACTACTTTGTAGCAAATATTTCTTTCATGATCTTGAGAATTATGTTAGAAGCTTGCTAAGTTTTGGAATCTACAATATTATCTGAAAATCAGTTGCACAGTTTAATAAGACAAAATTAGTAAAAATTATTTTATTATGTTTGGAGTTTTATTTACAAGTTAATTCTTCACCATTTCATTTGATCCCTTTTGGGCAAAAAAACTTTAGTTCATTTAGTACATTTGATAACAGCTCCCTTCAACTTGCCTGGAAAGGATAAACATAGGGATGCCCTGCACCTCACAGGATTAAACCTAACAGGAATTTTGTCAATGGGAACAGCATGGACCCCATGGAAGCTGCAAGCTAGCAACAGCCCCAAAGGGAGAAGAGGGCAGAAACTGTAGTTTTTAATAATCATCAGGCAAAGTAGTTTTGTAAGAAAGCAGGTTATATTCCCTGCCACACTCAAAAATCTGCAGCTCTCTAGCAACAGAACCACTTTACCATGGAAACTTTGCTTTCCATTCTTCCCAGAAATCAGAAGGAGACAGAGAAGAAAAAAAATAGCAGGAAAAAAGAATGCATGTGCTGCAGCTACCATTAAAAGTTTCCCTTCACAAACAAAAAAAATTGGTTAGATTCTTTTCCTAAGATATCTGTTTGAGCTTCTCACTATTTTTCACTTTAGTATTTAACCTGCATCTCAGTAGCATACAAATCTAATGTGCAACACTATTTTGTTTCTAGGCTAAAAAATCAATTTATTCCCATTTGAGTACACTGGCGGATTTTGCAATAGAGATGTTTGACGTTCTTGATGAAATCAACTATCAGTCTTACAATGAATTTGTCCTACGAGTTGGTAAGTCATGCTTCTACAATCATCACACAAACAGAAGATTGTTTTTCATTGGCTTTTCCTGTGCTGTCAGCAAAGGATTACCTGTCCTGCACTCATGAAAATTCTCCATTAATGAGAGAGTCACATCCATGTAAAAGGTCAGCAGTCTGGATGGTGTACATTAGTATTAAGGAACTGTAATTCCCTCCAATTCCAGTGTGTTTACTTAATCTGTGCACCCCTAAAAGGAAAGTGCACCATTAATTTTATACAATATTATAAGTGTACCCAGTCTTGTGGCTTACACTGCTTTGCATTGCTAAGCTGCTGAAAGTTGGGTCATACTGTATTACATTAAGTTGCATCTGCAAAAGCTTTGTTGGCATTAAAAGTTCAATAGGAGCTTTTTCTCCACAGATACCAAATCACCGTAACCAGTCCTGTTTTCTCCAGCAAATCAAATCCTCTGGTCTGCACAACACAACACTTCCCATGCAATCCTTTACATGTTATGTCTTACCACTCATTTCTCTCAGCCTTCTTAGACAGCAAGTTCCCTGCTTCCCTTTCTTCATGCATCCTGCTCCTCTCCAGTGGTACTTCTACTGCTGTTCTCATTTTATTGCATATTCTAACATTGATAGTTTTCTCCAGCTTCTTTCTCTGTACATTTTCATGGCTGACTTGTGAGAATGAGCTGGACTACAGGAAAACTGAGGTTGCTAGCAGCAGAAGATTGAAAAAGACCAAAGACATCAAATACAGCAATAGAAGAGTTACGCATCTTTGACGTCCTGTACATCCTAATGATTATAAACCAAAAATTCTCTTTGAACTTTGTGGTAACTTGTCTTTTCAGGTTCACAAAGGATAAATTGCCTAGAAAAGCCCTTGCACAGAATCTCATGCAGGGCTTAGTATCTGCAACTCTTCAGGGCACTCGGAACATCCTCTTTTATCTTCCAAACAAGATGCTGAAATCAGTCAGAAATGTAGAATTGAGCTCTGCAGCTTCCAAAACAATACGCTTGAGCCATTTTCACATACTTTTGTCTTCTACTGTCTCTGGAATTTGAGTTGTCTAGTGCTAGCAACCAACCTGACACACTTCCCTTACCCCAATCTTTGTGTATTCCAGACCATTATTTCTGTTCCACTTGGAAAACCTCCATTGAAACCTCCATTAAAAGGCTTTATATATGCAACTGAAGTGGAAGTTATAGGAAACAATTAAAGATCTTTAATAGTTTGTCCCATTTTCAGTAAAACTCTGCGCTACAACTGCTTTTCTTCTTTTCTTTAAACATTGAATTTTTTTAAAAAACACAGAAGAATCAAATTTTTATGTTGTCAATCACATTACATTTCCAATAAGATAGCTTAAGGAATGTCTTTGTTGTGTTTCTAAGACTTTTACAAATGCAGATGTCCACTTGGCATTAATTTAGTCATAGAATCATGAATATGCTAAGAGATCATCAAGTATGTAAGGGAGCCATCAGGATCATCAAGCCCAACTCCTGACCCTGCACAGGGCAGTCCAAAAGTCACACCATGTGCCTAAAAGCATTGTCCAAATGCTTCTTGAATTCTGGCAAGCTTGTTGCTGTGATCATTTCCCTAGAGAGCTTGTTCCAGTGTTCAGTCCCCCTTTGGGCGAAAAACCTTTTCCTGACATCTAACCTAAACTTCACTTGACTCATTTTTATGATGTTAACATATATTACTGTATTACAAAAAAAAAAAAAAAAAAAAAAAAAAAAAAAAGCTAAGACGCATCAAATCTGTTTTGCAGGATTCATGTTTCCTTTGGATAATAGTGAAAACCAAACTCATTGTTTAATTTTAGGTATTAATGTTGGGCCGGTAGTGGCAGGAGTCATTGGAGCCAGAAGACCACAGTATGATATCTGGGGGAACACTGTGAATGTTGCCAGCCGGATGGATAGTACTGGAGTTCAGGGAAAGATTCAGGTGAGTGCATTCTAAGACAATTTTGCAAACTTTACATACTTCCTGTTTTATATGTGGCTACAGTTTCAAGAACACTAAAAAAACAGTCTCACTTTGTTTTATGGAGAAGGCAACACTCTCCAGATGACTCACCATCAGAGGTATAGTTGTTTTCCATCTTATACACTTCACTCCTTAGAAACAATGAAATCATCAAATAAATAATTTCCCATCAAAAGAATCAAGAGTTCTCTGCTTCATTACACACAGTTGAAGGTAAGCCTGGGAATGTTAAAACTGCCAGTCTTTTCTTTGTGCTGTAGAACTTTTGCCTAAATAAGACCTACAAGGAAAGGATCTATGCTCATTTGCATCTTACCACATTTTATGTAGCTCTAAAAATTGCTTGGATACTTTGGATTGAAGATGTGATGCAGACAGAGAACACTTTTGTTCTACTACTAGAACCTATGGTGCTCCTCTCAAAAGCTCAATAAACACCTGCAGTAACTTATCCAAAATATCTGTCTAATCTCCAGGGACCAAAATGTCTTCTGCAATAAATTAACATCACTAGAACTGAGACAGCTTACAATTTGGTTACATAGTTTTGTTGGATGAAGCTTAATCTGCGTATTTATTTAACTCGAGACCAGAAATTCTGCTTCTCAGATTCCAGTTTTATGAGTGATCTTTACTTCTCAAAGAAAATTCTAAGTGAGCCTGAGAGCAGCTGTAGGTGTAATCCATTCTATTTATGCATATTTCATGACTAAGAAATAAAATGGAGAGGGGTGGGCAATTACACTAACAGAAAAAAGTAACATGTTTGTTGTTTTTTTTCTGTCTTCAGGTGACAGAAGAAGTTCAGCGGATATTAAAAAGATGCAGTTATGAATTCGTGTGCAGGGGTAAAGTTAGTGTAAAGGGAAAAGGTGAAATGTTAACCTATTTCCTGGAAGGAAAGGCTGATGTAAATAATTCCCAAACGCGGTCACTAAACTTAGAGCGGAAAATGTACCCTTATGGGAGAGCAAACATTCAAACAAAATTGGGCACCAGCTGTCCATCGGTGTCCTCTGTTGCTAGCTTTACTGTAAAATCTGGTCATGGAGCAGGTCAGGCATCTGCCACTCACACTAACCAAACACTGCATTATCTTCCTTCTGTGCCAGCTGTGAAGGAGGCATAGAACAAAGGAGATTTTGTTGTGCCACTTGCAGTGAACTTGGAGAGCAATGGTTGCCTGAAGTTTTATACTAAAAGGTCAGAGGTCATAGGCCATGTCATTAACCAAGGACCACTACAACCCAACCAAAGAGAACTTGGTGACTGTGTAATAAACTCTTGGGATGGAACATATAAGGGCTAGCAATTCTGTTATGAAAAGTCAAAATGGGATTTTCTGGAAATGAGGCATATTTTCTTGGCATTTTTAAACAGTAAATGAAAAAAATAGATAAATGTGCAAGCAATTATTTATGTGTGTGTGCATATATATGTTTAATCCATATATGCACACATACAAATAGTTCTGTGTAGAGATTTATAGTGATGAACATAAAAATGTGTATTTATTTACACATCCACCTGCAGAGACATAGCAAAGAGATTTCTCTTTCTGTCATAGCCAGAATTGTTCGGCCTGGGATTAGCAAAGCTGCATTTAACCATGGAATGTGGAACACCTGGAGACTCTCCAGAACTACAGCAAGACTTTGAGAAGCTGTGCTTCCAGTGTATGAATTAATGCAATGAGAACAGTGTTTATTGTGCTGTCAATGGCAGATTAATGAAGACTAGATTTAGCTAATTACAGAACCCTAAATTTTTTTTTAATTCTCCTTGCATGCTCCAAAAACTTCCAAAAATTTTCAATCAAACCATTACACTAAGATATAAAGTAGATAAATTACAGAGCTTAAAGTTTAGGCAAAAGAACAATATATATTCTTTTCATTAAAAAAAATACAAGAGTGGTACAGCATAGAATTTGCTGCCTCTTTGTAGGTCATTTGACTCTGTGCAAGAGAGAGGAGCCACCCTGCAAGCACAATAACATGCTTCTGCAATATAGAAACATTCCTGTATGTACAGTGCTGATTTTACTGAAGGGCAGAAGAATGGTATTATTTCAGGCTTTTAGAAATAGCACAAGTCCTGTGGCTCAAGTCCAGGATTTACCATTCTAAACAGCTCAAGGAACAGTCCTGTACTGGTGGCAAACATGCTGCTGCTAGTTTTATGACATTTGTATGTTTGCCAACATAGTTTTATGTATTAACTGATTTTTAAATTTATGCCACAGTTTTATTATACCTTGATGGTATCCAGACTTACTCTTCAAAACTGAACAATTACAGAAAGCTGTAATTCTGAGAAACAAGCACAGTCAAACTTTGCGAAATGAGCAGCACTGGTAAATGTGCCAGGAGAGCGAGGCCTACTCTTAATCTGCATAAAAAGGAAAATGGCTCCTTTTTTCTCTACTGCTGCCCACATCATATTGTTTATGGTTTCATACTGAAATGATGATGATCCAGATGTGAAATGTGGAGTGCAACTCCATAGTCAAGGTGGGGGCAGTTGAAGGTCATCCTGCTGAGAGATACATATTCCACGGACAGTGCCATAGTGTCCTGTTAACAAGCAAAACAATCTACCCTCCACCCCGGGGGGAAAAAAAAAAAAAAAAAACAAAACCAAAAAACAAACAATAGCTAAAATACCCCAACAAAACCAACAAAAACAACCCACAAAACTCAAAATCTTATTCCAATCATTCCTGAATGCAGAAGCTGTACAGATTGAACAATAGAAAATTTTCATGTACTAGGTTTCACGCTTCCCTTTGGTGGGCCTATTTTGTTAGAGATTTCCATGGAAGGAAGGTTCGGAGTCTCCTCTTATCTTACTTTGAAGCAGTAATTTTTTGCGCTAAAAGTATATGACAGTATATGACAGCACTATGTCAGTAGATGCAAATGGTTAAAGAAATATTGCAGGAATTTCTGTTCTCCACTCAGGATACTATGGAACGCCAGTGTTTTTCAGCAAAGTTTTAAATTAATTTTTATGTACCCTGACTGCTGGGTGCTTTGTTACAAAGCTGGCAAAGTTAGTCTTATGATTAAAGTGACTATAAAAACCTGAGACCTGCTTCTTAATTGTACTCTACAGTGTACTCAATGCACCCTGATTGAGCTGAGGAAAGTCACTGCATTTCTTTATCTCCCTAGGAGCTACCCAGTTCACAGATATTCTTCTGGAATAATTTATTTTTGGTTTTGAGATTTTCAAATCATTTAAAAAATATACATGTAGAGAATACAGATTTAAAAGAACAAATATTTACATAAATAAACTGCATAAGTGGTATTCATGTAAAGCGCATGCACAGTTATGTTCTCTAACAGATTTATAAGAACTAAATAATCACATGGGTAAGTTAAATATTTACCCAAGTTGGAAAGCATTATGTGCAATAGCATTAATCACTCAGTTCCTTTCTCAGAGACCCCATGCTACACAGTTTTTGAATTCAGTGAATTTGGTATAATTTCACTGATAATAATGAAATAAAAGCATCTTCTGATCCTAGAAGTAGATCTGGTCAAATGTGAACACATTGACCAAACACACCCATTGGCCCACCCAAAAGCTTTCAGTGAAATTACTTATTTGTTATTCTTTTTATTAGGCAAGATACAGGCAACTCACCACTATTTCTTTGATCTTTTACTAAGTGGACAGTGAGCACAAATGAATTGTCCCCTCTGCTAATATTTTTGTGGCTGTTCTCTTTCCCAGACCCATTCTCAGTCTGCTAATATCAGTGGAAGACCATGTAGCAAGGTACATTTAGATTATTCATGTTAACATTTTAAATTATTAGCAGGTGATAATTAATTAGAATTGGTCCAAAGATTTTCAATGCCTCATCCTCTTTTCCAACAGCCAAATAAGGCATGTGACTTTTGTAAGAATGTTTTCCATGTTGAATGGAAAGGACCAGATAAGCACAGTCCATCATTGGCTTCTCATTCTGCATTTTTGGAGGAGGTCTCTACCTCCCAGAGCAGTTGAGTGGACCAGAATGGCTTCTTGGTACTGCAGGCAAGATGGTGTGTATATCCTAGTTTACAGAATCAATAAGAGTATATTTGGAGTTGGTTTTAGACTTCAAGTCATAGATTTATACAATTCTTTGGGTTGGAATGGACCTTAAAGATCATCTAGTTCCAACCCTGTTGCCATAGGCAAGGACACCTTCCAATAGACGAGGTTAACATCACTCTCATTAAATTCATTATCATTAACATCATTATCCTGTCATTAATGTTTTTTGTATTTTTATTATGTTGTCGCTGGTTTTACCACGGGGAAAATGATATATTACTTTGTAGTCCTCAACTGAGCAGTATAAATTTATGAAAAAAGTTCAGCTATAGCACAAATTAGTCAAATACAACGTAAAAATGATAGGTAGGGTTCAGCAGCCATTTCAACAATGAAAGCTAAGTGCCCATTGAAATCATAAGATACTGAAGCTGTGCTCTTATCTTTATGCTTTCCTTCCCTATTCATATAGTTTTTTCCCCCATTTTCCTGTTCTGTCTACATTTGTTTAATTTCAGCTCTTGTGTGACAGCTTTAAATGACATATTTAATCTCTCAGCTCTTCTGCATTCATTGACATGTTTAGTAAGGTTTATACATGCAAAGTGGGGAAATATACATGGATGTAATACTTCTGGAAACCTCATAAATGTACATTTTCTGCCAAATTAGAGAAGATTGTAAGCAAAATTTTTATTGTCAATTGTCCTAAGATGGTATGTGGCCCACTCCAATATCTCTGAAAACCATCAGAAGGATTTCCCTGGATTTCTGTAGGATTTGTATTGTATCCATCTTATTGCATGCAGTTGTATTTCCCATCTTGCATATATTAATTTTCTGGTCAAGTGCTGTAACTTTTGCCTAGGTAACTTTGCTGTACCCCTGTCAAGGAGTCTGCCCCACAGCAACCAAAAGTCCTGAGTGTTCATCCAAGGATAGTAACTTGATGATTTGTAGGCAGAATAGCCTCCTGTACTTCTGTTCACTGATTTGGGCAGCTGTTAACTTGAAACAATTAACAGATACAAGTGCTACAAAAAGGTGATGCCATTTTGGCATGTCAATGTCTGTCAATAGCAAGCACAATATTTCACATCAGTTTGCATGTTTTCTCTTTCAGATAATAGTAATAACTGAAGTCTTTCATTTTTTATAAAAACATATAATTGTCAGAGATCTTGAGATCAGAGATCTTTAGTCTTGAGAGCTAATTTCTACATATTTGTATACTACGTTCATCTTCAAATGTTTTTTAATTCATATTCTCTGCTGAGATTGCAAACTGGCATTCCATTGGATTACTGGTTAGATATTTCCAAACATATTCCATTTACATTGACTAGAAATCTACTTTACCCAGCCTGTGAAATGCATAGTTTTTTGTAGCTGCTTTGCACTGTGGCTAGTGACACTCTCCTATCTTCGCCAAACAAACACAATTTTTTCCCTTGCTTTCCCTAGGTGAGACTGAGAGCCAAAAGGTTCAGCTTGTTAGAGCTGAATCTGCATCCCCTTATGTATCCACAAGGCCTGCAGCAATCACCAGTTTAGTATGCTTGTAAAAGTCAGGAGTTGAGCTTCTGTAGGCCAAGCTCTGCCTTGGGTTATAACAATGTCTCATGTCAATACTGAACTGAATATTTTACAACACTGTAAACAAGAGTAGGTCATGCACTGAAATCTCTTTCCCACTTTTGCCTGTAATTTATCAGGCAAAATAAAGTAGTTGGGTGCCACTGTTTGAATGGAAACAGTACATGACCTGTGCCATTTCAGTGCTTTGAAGAGTATGAACACATTAATAAGTAGTGTGAATCATTTTCCTCTGTTGGATTCCTGCTTGTAGCAGAAAGAATGCATTTTCTTTACATCAGCAAGTCCAGATTCTGTATGTGTTCTGCCCAGGCAGGAGGACTATTTAGCCATAATATTCTTTCAAGTTAGAGTTTTGTATTACAGTGAAAACCAACATTTTTTTAATTTGTGATAAACCTGTATTATAATGCCTTATTTTTAATCTTGTACAGTGTTACAAAACAACAAAAAACATTGGCCTTTCATGAATTATTCACTTTAAAAGATGTATTGTACTATGAAATTTTGTAAATAGTTTTAGCTTGGACAGGTAGTTGCATGTACACTTGTATAAAAAGAAGCAAAAAGGCACACTTTTAACAAACATTAATGATTTTTTTTAAGAGGCATTTTACATGTGCATGGAGATTATATATCCTTTTAAAATGGATGTCTTTTTTGGTTTTTCTTGCAATCTACTGCATGCCATTCATGCCTGACTTCAGTCAAACAAAACAGTAAGTTTTCCTAAATGTTTTTGACATACCACTTTTGGCACAGTTAAATCACTAGTTGCATGTGCATTCAGCAAACCAAAATATAAACAGCAAATAAAGAAAAAAAATTACTTTATGATTGTGATCTGCCAACCTCGGTGTTTCAAGGTCCATAACACAGCATATGAAAAGTGTTATCACAAAGCTGTCTTCATAAGGGACCTTCTGGTCATTAGAAGCAATAAACTACTTTCTGTAATATAAAAAGCAAACCAATACTCTAGTTCAAAATGGTGTAGTATCTGACATTCAGTGGTTATTCTCTGATACCGCAATTGATGTAGTATTGTTATCAAGAAGGACCAGATGTCAAATCCATCTTTGCTGTGTGCAGGTGCAACACTATGGAAGGCAAAGAAGGTGAATTTGGCTCATTAATGTTACCCAGAGTATATTTCTAATGCGATAGTAAGTTATTGTATATAATTAAAATAGGTGGTTTTCCTGGATTCATACATACATATATATATATATGTGTGTATGTGTGTGTGCATATATATATATATATATATATATAATTAATTTTGTTGCCTTATTTCTGTCAGATTTTTTTTACTTATTTTCCAAATAGTTTATATTGCTAAGCAGAAAGTATTTAACAGAACTATCAAGAAAAAGTTCATGGCGTTTATCTGGCTTTGATCCATCTGGGTTCTCTGCTGTTTCCATGCTTCCAGAGATGCCTCCTTTAGGTATCACAGCCTAACGCACAGCCTGAAGTTGATGTCAGCTCGTGACATTGGAATAAGAAATCAATTTCCAGTCCTCTATCTGATTTTTCCCATAAAGCTGATGAATAAAACTTAAAATTCTGAAGAAAAACTTAAAATTTCTGAAGGTATTTTGCACACTTCATTTTTAAAGTTGTCATATCCATGTCACTACAACTCAGGATTACTTCTCAAATTACTTATATAATTGCTGTATGACAAGTAAGGAGTATTTGAGAAGCATAACACTGAGTCTTGTGGCAAAAAGAAAAGGGTGTGGACTGTGAATACTTTCTGCTTTGGATAAGGATTTGGATTTTACAATTTGAGCTAGTGTTATAATAGAACTCAGAAATCTGTTAATTTGTTTATTTAATCAGGTGACTGTAGGGTTAACTAAGCAGTACAGCTTCTGCAAGTACTTTTGTCATCCTACGTTAAGAGGCAGGTTTGTACAATATATCCTTGTTGCCTGCATAGAAAAAACCACTACCTTGTACTGACAATTGTCTTCATTATAGCAGTTATAGGCTTCTAATAGTCATAAATTAACTCATCTCAAATTCAGTGGTTTTTACATCTCAGTGTGGTGTAATTGTTGTGAATAATGACAATCTGGACACTGCTCCTGTACCTCACCCTGTTTATGATTGCCACTTTCCAGAACTCTGTATAGGCAATTTTTAGATCATTGTTCCCTTTAATCCCATCTCTCACTGAATTCTCTGGCCAAATCTAAATAATTTAATATATTAAGGTAAATAATGGGAAGAGTACACATAAGGGAATGGCTGCCTGTTGCTTTTTAATTCCTCTTCAAAATATCACACTGCTTGCATGGCCTGATGTGATTCACAATCTGATCGGTGCAAGAATAAAAAGAAGAAAATAAGAAAAAAAAATAGGCAAAATTAGCAAGAGTACAAAAAAACAAAAAAAGTAGGCTGTGAGATAGCAATTACTGAAAGGAAAAGGTGAAAAGCGAATACTCTTATGAAGTCAGCAGTAAAACTCAGTGACATGGGACGAGTCTGAAGTATCTGATCTAGAAGTACTTAACCAGATTCATAGTGCAACAAAAATAAGGCTTGCATTTAATTGCTTGGTCAAATCAGTTTCTGAGGTTTTGTGTCAGTTCACATTTACAAAAATATTCAAGATGTCTTGGTGAACCACTTCCAGGATTTCAGAAGGAATTATTAGAAATAGTTGGGGGTTGTCACCTTTAATGTCGCTTATTTGATCATTAGGAAGCACCTTGGAATTTGAATTAGTATTGGTTAACATACATAGTGCAAGTCCTGAAAGGACTTGGTTTTGCTTGTGCCTTACTGCATGCTGGAGGGTCTATTTCTTTATATTAGGATCCCCATTTTATGCCTTCTGTGGCATCAGACATGACACACATGTATAAAACTGAAGGAAAAAAAGTGCTGCATCACTGTGAAGATTTTTTATTAATTCCTTTCCTACTTTGGTTTACTACCAGTACAGTTACGTGGATGCAAGGAGTGCTCCATTTGTTTGTGGAGGGAGGCCATACACAGGTATATGTGGGTCCAAGCTGAAGAAGAATAGGTTTCCTAGAAAGCTCAGTACATGTGAACTCACATTCAGTGAGCTGAATTCTGCAGAAAATATTTTTAGATAGTTTGGGACTCCTTTTACAAAGCTGGCTGCTCTCCTCTACAGAACACCTTGTAACTGCACTGTCAGATTTGCTAGATGTAGTTTAGCCACAGTTCTTGCTGTGGGCTAAAGTGGGGGCTACTGTGGTCACGCACACTGTCATGTCTTACTTTCAAGTGCTTGACTCTTCTGCTTTAATCCTAGACCTGTCTGCTGTTGTGGCATCAGTTATGAAAACCTTCAGCTGGCACGTTGAAGTTACTTAGGTGATTTCGCATGTCTTTCGCTCCTTAGTGCATATGGGTGCAAAGGTTGTCTGTTTCAGATTTCACATGCCATTCAAGCAATATAGCAAGAATTTTCAGTGAAATGGAAATGAAAATTAATTATCTGTGCCATCAAAATTACTTCATGATAATTATATTTTTAATTGCATATAGTAGAGATCCTTCTTCACATAGAATTTCTGCTTTCTTTACAGTACCATTACTAGGGCTCAATAAGGAAAAACAAAGAGGAAAAGAGATTGCATAACTTGCTCCCATTTACAAGTATAATTGTCTGTACAAAATTGAACTTGGACAAAGCAAACAGAGTTTCTTTTCTGCATTCAAACACCTGGTTATTACAGAGAAGTAGCTTTGAAAAACATTAGAGAATACAGTAAGAATGAAAGCAATGCTTACTTGTCTAAAAACTAGAATCCAAGAACAGCTACCTTTTCTAGTATAATTAACTCAATACAGAGAATCTTAGAACAGTGATATTATTTCCTTTGAAATTCTCACAGAGATTAAATTCTGACACACATTTCACAGTTTCAAGCAGATTCAGTCAAATTTGACCCATCTCTTAAAATCCCTATCTTTACAACTTGTGTTGCAAGTAACATCTGTCTGAATTGTATCCTGCTGCTAAGTCCTTGTACTCTCTGCTGTCTGGAGGTTAACTTCTGCCCTGCTGGCATATGTACATAGGTTCTGCTTGGAAATAAGATGCTCAGCATTTTTCCAATCTGTTAATTGAAAAAATGTAAAAATGTTTTACAATTTTCAGCAGCCAAATGTAGGAAGCAAAAGACTACACAGAGCTTGTGTTCTATAAACAAAATTAGTCTGCCTACACATGATGACAGAATCCATTATAGGCTTATCCATCATTTTAAGCATCCTAGAAATATTTAAATGTAATAAATATCATAGCAACAAGAGGAGATGAAGCCAGACATACCTGCCTGACTCTTAACACCACATAATTCTTCTTTGCATGTAAAGTATGACCTACAACTCATAAAATAGTGCCTCTTCAGAAATTGGTACCCCTTCTACCCTTAACTCACCCTCAGTTGTTCAATGCCATATTATTTTTGTTGAGGTGTTTGCTGCATACTCAGGCCAGCTTTACCATCTCCCTCTGTAGGTCCTCTGTCACATGGTTGTCAAACTTCTTTTTCAAAAAGAAAATATATTTTCAGAAAGTTGATTTTTTATAGATAATAGATGTTTAGGGGGAAAAAATAGGAAGCAGTACATGTGACAACAAACCTGAAAGGGTATATAAACATACCCTGTGGTGGGAGTGCAGGCACCAGCAGGTGGCAGCAAGCTGGGCAATAAGACTTCAATCTGCCTTCTGACTTCAATCAGCAAGCAGAGCAGCATCTCTGCTCAAGGGCCTGAGGAAGAGACACAGATAAGAAAGAGTGGTGAAGCCTAATTTATGTTCCCTAGTAGTTTAACAAGAACATGCAAACTCATTTCAAGAGCAGTCATGTTGTCTGTGTCTGGATACCATTCTTTACTAAAATATTAGAGGGAAGAGATACAGGTTTGGAGTATTATAAGGCTGATTGAATTGGAACATTCAATAAGAAGACTGTGCAAGAGGAATCTTAATCTACTTAATCTGCAGATGTTTGCAGCAAATTTGGCATCGCTTCTGGACCAACTTGAATATTTGCTTAGACTTTGTGGAAAAAAGCATTATTTGCATCAGGTAGACATGGGAAAACCAATGTATTCTTATCTGTATTTATTGTTAGAAAAGTTTTCAGTAGAACTTTTAGTCTCATTTACAGCCCAGTAAAATTAATGAAAATATTAACCTCAACAATTATTGAATTTTTAGATTAAACTTTATTCTAGTGTCTATTCCTCTGCCATGTCAGATGGGGCGTGACCAGTGACTTCAAAAGGATCAGGAGGAGACCTACAGTATCACAAAAGAAACATCTACATAGGTAAAATGGGTAGTCCTAATTTTAAGGAGTGAACAAGTAAGTCAAGATGTCATTATTCCAACTTCTATAGCCCACTGAACATATAAATAATCTTTTTATCTTTATAGCTATACACTATATATATATATATATGTATAAAAATATTAAAATACAATAACTTAACACTGGGTAACTTCTAATGATAAATTTTCATTAATAATACGGGTCTATTTTTATGTAAATATATTATTGTAGAGTATCTTCCAGTCTTTTTCAGGATTGTTAAACTGAGAAGAGCAATTGAATATTTGTCCTATTTTTATGTTAAAAAGTGAATGGACTGAAATGTTAAATGTGAATGTAAATTTCTTATTGCAACTTTTATACTAAGTGTTTGCACTATTATAATTTCTGGAATCAAATTAAAAATAAAGGAAGAAATTGCTCAAATAAATAGCTGTATGAGATTGTTGTTTTGGTTTTGGTTTGGCTTTGTGGGGGGAGGCTGGTTGGGATTTTTTATGTTTGCTTTTTAAATCATGTTGCATTCATTACTATGTACCAAGCTGCCTCTCAGAGGGTGCAGCTACAGCTTCTCAGTCAGGCTATGAACATGACTTTAGAAATGCTGCAATTCTGCTTTCAGAATTGCTTTGAGCTAAAGAATCTCATGAGAACAATTCAGCTTCCTTATGAGTTTCATTGATTTTCTGCATTGACCACAGTGTAAGTCAGCTTGGGCCAAGGGTACCCTTCACTGTGCAAGAAGAGGAAAATAAATATGCAATGACCAGCAAAATACCAGCTACATAGAACAGAAGACAGTGAGGGGAAGCTTATCTCTCCTTTTTCACAAGGCAGAAATGGTTAATTTAGGCTAAGTGTAGATTTTGTAGGCATTTTATGTTATGCAAGATACAGAGCCAACCTGAGAGCAAAATTGCATACGTTGACTTAAAATTGATTTTAAAACTGATACAGTTTTATCAGGTAATATGCCTTGCAAGAGAGTTGCTAAATTTGGGTAGTTCAAAGCAATTTGATTGTAGCACTTCCAAATGACAGCAGACTCCCATCTGGCCAGCTCAGAGCAGAAGGAGAGGTGCTCAGGCGCCTCATTCCTGTCCCTGAAGATATGCCCTGAGATACTGTTATGGTTTGACCCTGGCACAATGCCAGTGTCCCCATGAAAATACACCTTCCCCAAACGAGTGCTGTGAGATGTGATCAGGAACAGAACAGAGCAGGCTCAAGCTTAAAAACAGAGAAAAACTTCATTACCCTAAAACTACAATAAAAGGAACACACAGGATTCAGGATTAAAACTTTCCAAAACACTCCTCCTCCCCTCACCCAATTTCCATCAAAACCCAGTGAGACACAACCCTGGGTTCCTGATCAATTTACCGCCCTTCTAATAATCAATACTCAGTCCATCAAGGGAGGGAGAAGTCTCTCTTGCAACATAGACCCCCAGGAAACACAATTGCAATCTCCTGTGTTTCCATGTCACACATGGCACCACCCAGAGAAAATCTGTCAGTGTGACACCCTCCTCTCCATGTCACAGTGCTCTCACCACTGTGCATGGACCGAGACTGCTCAAAGGGTTCCTCCTTTAAAGATGCTCTGCCAAGGACCAAAGAACAACAGTTTCTTATTTTGGGACCACAGACACCCCCATTTTCTTCTCCCCTGGGGCCGAGGGTCTCAAGAACGGAGATCTTCCTTTCCCTGAAGACAGAGGGCACCACCATACCCTCCTAATCACTGCAGCAGGTCACTCTCTTGGCTCCAATTATTGCATCCCTGTAAAAATGCAGTCTCTGTTGCAGGAGAAATCGGTTCAGTCTATACAAGAAAAGTCCAGCCAAAACCCACTCCATCATTTCCTCCCACCTAGGATTCTTTCCCCATCTTCTTTTGACATCTCAGGTCCCAGGCCATCTCTCTTCTCTTTCAGAAAAAGGAGGAGTACTCAGACTCCCAAGATGGCTGAAATCCCTGCCCAGAACTCCAACTCCCATGGCTGGGCACCTTCCCCCCTCCTCTCTTTTCTCCTCTGCCAGTTCCCTGTCTCTTTCACTCTCTCTCTCTCTCTCTCTGGGGGAGGGAACAAAGACATCTCAGATTTTCCCCACCTTCCGTCTGCAGGAGCTGGCTCAGTTCCAGTCCTTCACACTCTGGCCTACCTCTCCCAGGCTGCATGGCTTCCCCTCCCTCACCCAGCCTGTGGCTGGGCATGGGAGGTCTGCAAGGCACTCTGACCGGAACCAAAGAGAAAGCTCCCCTGGGAGTTCTCTGCTTTTAACCCCCTGTGTTCTTAGAGGCGTGTCCAGCCTTCAGTAGTCACTCAAAGTGCCAATAGCCATACCTGACCACTGATTGGTTTGACCCAAACTTCCTGAGAAAATTAATTTCACTGTCAAACTATGAAAGATATCTTGGAAATGTAGGGTCCCCTGTGATGTATAACAGCCTGGGCTCAGATGCAAGGGGTTTTAATCCAAATGCTAGACAGAGTCTCCCCAGCTTTTTTTCTTGCAGGTTAGAAAGCAAAGTGTGAGTTCTACAGAATTACAGTGCTGTGTGGGAGTGTGATGGAACTGTCCTTGGTTTGCCCTTACATTAGTGAGAAGTGTTTAAGGCCTTATATAGCCATTTTTTGCCTTGTCCTTCCCTTCTGAAAGACAACATGCCAGACCTCCCTAAGTGTAAATCAGAATGACTTTGTAAAGTCAAAAGGATATAAATAAACTGAAAATCTATCCTTCACCTTTCATTGTACCTATTCTGCCACATTGGTATTTTAAGGCTTTCTCCTAATACCAAAATGTGTAACCCTTTTAGTGTTGTTTCAGGGAATTCTATGTACATGAATACACATAGAGCCATTTATACCTGTGTATGAAATATGTACACTCACAGATACATATGTTAACGAGAGAGTATATGCTCTGGATTAATGACTCAGGTCATTACTTGGAGACTTTTTTCTGCCATGTCCCATTACACAGGCAAATCACTTCAGAGACAGTATGAGAATATATTTTGCTTAAAGAATGAGGTAGGATCAGTATTAGATTGTTACCCCTCTGCTAACTTTTGGACATGAGGAATTCCAGACAGCATTTCCATAGCATAAACCACCCAGGACTGAAACTGAGGTTCTTGTCCAAAAATATTACCAGAGGATATTGTCGATTTCAAACAGGTAGAAGGGGAGAATAGAAAATGAGAACACTGTGTACATTGTCCCTTGTGTACCTTGGTGCATTGCCATTGTATCTATGTCAAAGCCTTCCAGTTTTGCAGCCATTCCCTAGAGCAGTGGGTCACCTAATGCCATTTCTGCTGGCAGAACATGATGTTGAATGGAAGGAAACAATTATATAGGTATCAAATCATGGACCATATTCTTGTTTGGGTTATTGTGATGAAAAAAAAAGTCATAGCTGTGAAGTGAGCCATGTATTAGAGATTGTCTGTGACATTTCTGGCTCTCTTTAAACCCTCTGAACTGTCAAGAGGGCATTTAGAATGGGGATCTTGAAGTATAGTCAGGCTGCTTAGGAATCCTGGTCTGATCCTAATATCCACTCTTGTGCAGGTTATTTCTGCTGTCAATTTCAGCAGTAGTTAGCATAGGTTTCCAAGCTCAAAGCATAGAGAATAGAAACTGATTTTTAATATTACATTAATTTGAGTCTCCCAGGCTTACACTATTCCTGTATTTATAACCAGGCATTTGTTAACTGTGATTAGATTGAGGCATAAAGAGCTAGAAAGGAAGAAGGTAGTGATGAAGTAGTCATTATTATCAAGAACCTTTTCATTTACAAGGCACACTCTAAAGATGCCAATGATGTCCTTCATAGAGACAGTGTAACATATAAATTACTACACCATCACAGACAAAGCTGATGTGCGATCAGAAGTGCTCTGCTTCACTAAGTCAGTGGGACTCTGATTAATTAATTAGCTTTCCCCCAGCTTAGACTACCTGGGGATTCATCTGCACAATTCTAATGCCACAAGACAGAGCCATTTATATTCACCTGGCCTTACTTCCTGCATAGGACTATACTCACTCTGGCCATGCTACTGCACTGCACAACACAGCATTTTTAGTTTATTACTGGATGTAATAAAGTAAAATAAATCCATCATTTTCTGGTTGCTGAGAGATTTGAAGCTAGATATTTGTTTGGCCAAACTGGACTAATACTATTGCCAAAGGTCACGAAAGCAGCACAGCCTGTTTCCCCCCCCCAAACTCTATCGTTACTTTGTATATTTATTGAACTTTGGCAATACTGTTATGTGCTCCTCGGCAGCTCTGCCAACATAATTAAAAAGGAGCAGTTGTATCAGAAAAGACACAGCAAGTTACTGAGGAAAGGTCTCAGTTGAATATTAACTCAGATTGACTTGTGGGGTGTAGAAACACGTAGAAAGTGTATAGGACAGTGACTAGTGAATAAACAACATGCAGACAGAACACATAATGGCATTCTGGTAAGACAAGAGTGTAATGAAGAGGAATCAATGACGCCATTAAAAAGTCATTGATTTTATCAAGGTCAGTGATTTCTATTAAAGTATACCTGACTTCTTACTACAGGGATAATTAGATTTTTTGAAGTTGAATATTGATCCTCCAGACTTCTACATTATAAAGCTAATTTTTTTCAATTTGACATCCCTCACAATGGTTTTAGACTGGCTACTTGTGTATTATAGCCTTGTTTAACAAAGAGAGACAACACTTTTTAATGCTTTTAGCTTTCAAAATTGATCTTAATATTGCAGCATCTTTTTATGTGTACAAACTAATCTGCCTTTCACTTAGACACCAAGGACTCCGAGGGCAAAGCTAATCTAAACAGAGGGAGGATGTGCCACTGAACTTTTCTATGAGATGCAAAAGTATGTTCCTTAAGGAACTTGTTTTTTCAGTCCTACTATTACATTAAAGCAGAAAAAAAAATTGGCTGTTAGAATACCACTTCCAATTGCCTGTAACTCGTGGACCTTGGTGAAAAATTTTTATTGAAACCCGTATTAAAAGCTTTTAAGACTAATTGGAATTGTTTCAGAGACAAAGAGCCAAGTCTCATTATTCCTTAAACTCTTATTGAAACTAATCATATGGAAGATAATTTAGACATTTAAATAAGGGTTTGACTTTCTGAGCAGCCATGAAACCCAGTAAGTAGTTCAAGATAATGGTTTTGAATGCATAAAATTGAATTTGTTGTCCAGTTGGACAACAGTCATAACCAAAACTGTAGAAAAATATAACCTGAAGCACACATCATGACCCTGTATTGCTAGTTCAAAGCCATTTTTTTTACTGAAAGGTTATGAAATCGCTAGACCCATTTATCCAGGATTCCCTAAAGCCTTTCTCTCAGGTTCCTTATGAGGTGCTCCTATGATCAAATTGAATGA